AGTGAAACACTATTGGGCCACCTGTACCCCCTATTGTATGCCTGTATGTGTTTGTATGTAGGTGTCATGTGGAAAGTGTATCATAGTACACCATTGTAGTGCAGTGAATGATCAGCATGGGAGGCTTGTAATGGATGCTTCTGGTTTACATGGTTAACAGGATTTTATAAAGCAAAAGGTCGTCATGACACTTAATTGCTTTAAGGCTGACTATGCTCAGTGATCTGGTAGCCGTTTTGGTGCTGGCCTTGATGTAATTGTCTTAAATGAGTGAGTGAGTGAGTCTAGCTTTACGCCGCTTTTAGCAATATTTCAGCAATATCACGGTGGGGAACACCAGAAATGGGCTTCACCCATTGTACCCATGTGGGGAATCAGACCCGGATCTTTGGCGTGACAAGCAAACCACTTGGCTACGCCATCGCCCCTTGTCTTAAAGGATCTGGTACCAATTGTCAGTGTAGGTCATGAGGTTCTTAACATAATTAGTGTCCTCTGTCCTGCTGAGGTGTTTGTGGTCAATAAGGGTATATTCACCTACCTATTGATCTACCTAACATAATAGGAATTTTATTTTCAGGGTTTTTTGAAGCTTGGTAAATTATACCCAGGATTAGGCAAGAATTAAATACCTATGGATAATTGGGTTTTCAGAATATGGCGCTATCCTTTGTTTTCTGGACCATCACTTTACCTCTAAAGGACCCTAAGTGGATAAGAGAAAATGGTCCTAAAGGAATTCTAGGATAGATTTTCCCATGCCTGTGTACAGTGTCGTAATCTTTAATTGATTCTGTAATTTCAAAAGAAGTTAGGCTTGGCACTTATATGGAGACCTGTGCATAAGTACCCAAATTATGTGTCCAGTTATGCCCTGAGGCTGTTTTACCTGTCACCCAGGTACCTGTAATTAACAACATTCAGGTGTTACAGCATCACAGGTAATGTCCCCAGGTTGTAAACTCTGTGTGGTATTGTCACTTGATTACTCAATATGGCATAATGTTTTATGCTGCTTCACGTGTCAGTGACTTTAACACTACAGGGGACGAACTAACCTGATTCTCCAAATACAAAACTTTAAAAATGTAAATATTTGAATTCTTACATGTCTGTGAACCAAAAGATAAAATGTTTGTTTTTCTGATATTATTTCATGGCCAGTCAAATGTATTTTTATTTTGTGGAGGACCCTACCATGCCTACAACTGACTCATAGTTTTTGAAAGTTATATTTTTTAATTTGCCAGCCTCTGTGGTGTAGTGTTTAGAGCATCCACCAGGAGAGCAGAAGGTGGTGGGTTCAATCCCTGGCCTCATCATACCAATAGACGTTAAAATATGGTACTTGTTGGTCCCTGCCTGGCCCTCGACATAAATGGGTAAAACAAGGACTGGTCGGCTCGGAGTCAGTATAATGTGTCTGAGTGGGGTATTCATGCTTAACTGCGACATGGTATCTCAGTGAGCTAGCATTATAAAACCAGCCTAAGTCTGGGCTAGTACAAGCAGTCACACATACACATGCTCATCATATGATGAAATATTCTTACCTACGACGTTAAACCCCTTTTCATTTCAAATATTTTTTAAATGAGTGAAAATGCTCTGATGGAAAGTATGCTCTTAAAGCTATCTTAAATAATGACGGTCACTCAACGGTTGTATTTAGGAAATAAAGTTCAAATAAAATTCAACAAAAACTTTCTTTAAACAGAAACACAATGTTTTGGTGAGTGAGTGAGTTTAGGTTCATGTCACTTTTAGCAATATTCAAACCAGATCTGGGCTTCACACATCGTAAACATGTGTTGAATCGAACCTGGTTCTTCAGCGTGACAAGCAAACATTTTAATCACTAAGCTACCGCACCACCCTGCTTTGGTGTTAATAAGATTCAAAATCATTACAGTATTTGAACAATGCTGGAATGGAAATCATTGACATTTGTCTACACTAATGATACATCTTAGTGTTGTCATAGTTGAAATATGATTATGTCAACATAGTCAAAGGGAGGTATGACAGACATTGTTGACAATGTATGGGAACATTAGAATAAAGAACCCAACACTTGCATAGCATTATACAGTTAAATAGTTTTATCCTTTGCTCACCAAACAAATCTCCGATGTTGGATAGACAATAATCTTAAAGCTTACAAGCATTAGAAACTAGGATTTTGAAAGATCAATGAAGTTTAAATGTGTATCATGGAGATACAGAGTCTAAAGACTCACAGTCAGGCGTTATGAACAAATATCTCCTTCTGGCATTAAACTGATCTGAAACACAAATGTTTCTGCTTTGCATGTTAACTTTATGTTTTTTTAGAATAGTTACCATGTCCATTTGTCCTCAGCTTCACAACATAACTGCTGCGAAAAATGACATCCCCACATCCTTCTAATGCTGTTGGTTTGTTGTGGAGAGCTATAAATATTAAAGAGCAAACGTAACAGTTCACGCTTCTCGCACGTTTCATCTCCACCTGGGAAAGGAAGCCTATCTGGAACAAACAAAAGCAAAACGAGTTAGCCTATTATTCCCTTACATCAGATTATGTAGGCAACAGAAGTCCAGCCTATTAGAGGTTGCTGATAGGATTAGGAGTGGCCGCACGGCTGGAATCGACCTGGGCATATTTCTATTTGTTTGCTCAGTATTTTCAAGGGTGTACATGCCAAGACTGCAGTGATCTGCCATGTGGACTGAGGGGGACAAGCAGTGTTGACATATTCAATCTTGGATTACTAATTTACATACAGCATTGGGAAGATTTTGATGCCTTGGCAAGAGCACAAGTTGAAATCTAGATGACTGTGCAGAATTTCTGCAATTTATGTTTTTGTAAATTCAAGCCTGTTTAGTGTCCATGACTGTGTCTTTATGAATTCTAAGAAGTATTTCAGTGTGTGAGGAATAGTTATCTCTTATTGAGAGGTAGTGGTACAAGTCCAGTAGAGCAACTTGGACATTGACCACCCAGCACGATACAGTTGCATGATGTTTACTTTGTCAGGCAAAGGCACCTACCCTAAAAATGGTAGGTAATTATGCTTGACAACATAACTATGTTATGCTACATGTATATCTGAAAAAGTTTCATAAGTATGTTATACACCATGTGTATCAAACAACATTTCATTTGTATGTTATAGTATTTATAAGCCATGTATATTTGACAACATTTCAGAAGTATGTTATACACCATGTATAGTTGACATTTCCTAATTATGTTATACACATGTATATCTGACAACATTTCATAAGTATGTTATACACATTGTATAGTTGACATTTCCTAATTATGTTATACACATGTATATCTGACAACATTTCATAAGTATGTTATACACATTGTATAGTTGACAACATTTCATAAGTATGTAGTACACAGGGTTTTACAGGACGCATGATCCCTGCGTATTGGACGCAGAAATTTGATGAAATACCCCCAAACTGAACTCCTGTGCGTCCTTATGGACGCAATACAATTTTTTTCTGGGAAAGAACTTTCTGAGTTTGTAATGATATCCCATATCAAAATATAAACATTCTATTTACAATCATTATTCTAATGACACTGAAACTAACACATATTATAACATCATCATTATCAAATGGGAAGCATCCATGATCATTGATTTCATGCAAATTGATGGACTCCCAATTTTGTAAATGGACTCCCAAACAAATATGCCCTGAGTTCCCAGGACTTCCAGTTTTGAAGATCTATGTAAAACCCTGAGTACATCATGTATACCTGACAACATTTCATAATTATGTTACACACTGATGGTAAAACATGTGGGACTCACACTACTGTCATATTTAACCCAAGATTGTTTGCTGAAAGAATTCTCGTTGTATTATATGCATTTTGACTTAAATATACTGCCAGGACCAGATATATACTTTTCGTCATATCCTTAAATTTGCCTTATTTGTAGTTTACTATATTTGTGTTGAAGATGGTAGTTAACTTTATATGGCTATGTTTTCATGAGCCATCTTCATTCAATCACCTTATAAACATAGGCAAATAAGACACTTGGGTTTCTTATAACCAGTTGAAGAGAATTTCTGAACTGATACAACTACAGGTTTGTGCAGCAAACTAGTGCCTTTAGCCTATAGTTAGTGACCAGAAAATGGTTATGGTTATATGTGTAGTGTCCTTAAATAGTACAATGATTTAACATAGATAAGTGTTTTTCTTGCATCATGGAACAGATCTGAATGTCACAATTCATGCCTGTTTCAGTATTACATCCTGTTATGTGTTAATCTGTTGTCAGTGCCGGTCAGAGCTGCATGTAAACAGAAGCAGAGCTTATACACTGGCCTTGTGTCATTTTCCTATAATATTCAGTGGTCTTTATTTATTGCCTTCATACTGAATTAACTCCCTTGGCCTTGAGTCTTGCTTATCTTTTCAAGTGGCATATCTATCTGGATTTTGATTACCATGTCGTATCAGTAAAGAAAACTGTACATAAAGCATTAGCAACATAGAATAATGCAATTTTCACATTGGATTTGATTAGCTAAGCGATGTAAGCATTTGTTATCACTGATTGTAATATACTGCAAGGTAATACACACTAAATTCCCAAACATTAACAAAATATTACTACCAATATTCATTTTTAGCAATTCAGCAGAAATCTTGAACAATTCATCTGGCCTAGCAGAAAAAATGCAATGCAACAAGATGTTTCTATTATACACATGACACATTTTATGGGAACTTGTAATGATTTTATAAAGCTGTACATGGCTATTGATCAGCTAAGGCTGTGGTTTAATAAGAGGAACGTCAGAAATTGTCACTCAGTATTGGTAGAAGTATATTGACACCACTCTAAAGATATATTGCTGGTGGCTAAGCTTAGTTGAGAAAGTGTCAGCTTGCCAGGCCTAAGATCTAAGTTTGATTCACATTATGGCTATGATGTTATGCCTACTCACTCTTACAATCACACTCTTTGCTTCAGGCGTCAAGATGGGAAGCCAAGTGGACCCTGCCTTTCGCGTGGTTACGCCAAACAGATCTGGCTTCTTTGTATGGAGAATTGAGGTAAGTGTCGTGTGAGAAGTGACATGTTGTGGATGGAAGTACAGGTACATCACCAGTGTCCGATGCTTGAAAGTGTTATAACCATATGACGTTAATGTGAAGCTATTTAGACGTCTTCGTTGTATTAAGTACACTGCACCGATAAGCACCCTAAATCGATTTCCCGATCAGTTTTAAAGTAAATAACGTGACTGAGATTGAGGGCTCTTCATGACAATTGACATTCTCTCAGGTGTATTGCAGATTTCTTTTACAAAATACAGCAATGTAGAGTGAGTGAGTATGGTTTTACGCCGCTTTTAGCAATATTCCAGCAATGTCACAGCGGGTGACACCAGAAATGAGCTTCACACATTGTACCTATGTGGGGAATCGAACCTGGGTCTTCGGCGTGACGAGCGAATGCCTTAACCACTAGGCTACCCCACTGCCCCACAGCAATGTAGAAGGATAATATAATTATGCCTTAACCACTAGGCTACCCCACTGCCCCACAACAATGTAGAAGGATAATATAATTGCATAGTGACTATTGTCCAAGAATTCTTAGTCTCATTGATATCTTTTTCTGGCACCCCACAAAATCACTGACACATAGAAGCTGCTAGTCTAACAGCTTGCGTTGATTGTTGTTTAATGGCAGTCTGTTAAAAATTCTGAATCAGTCAAACCAGTGACTGACATCATGAGCATCATTCTACACAAATGGCATACATGACATTCAGCAGCCAAGTCTGTCCACCCAACCCCATCAGTCGCTGCTTGTGGCCTCTTTAAGACAAGTACTTAATATAAATCCTGACAACCAAGCCTTGAATAAACCATTTATTATTATGTGTATGTTGTCAGCTTTAGAATACAAATGTTTGATACCTCCTACTAGACAATCAGAGCTCATCAATGTTATAGTCACTGGTCCTGCTATATTTTTGCTGGCATTTGCCTAGTGGTCAGTGATATTTATTGTAAGCTTCGCTTAATGTTTAGTGAGGTAACCTTTGTGGAGAACATTACTATATATGAGATAAGACAACTTATTATCCATATGGCGGAACATAAGTCATGTCATATTTTCAATGCATATATCACTTTTGCCTAGCAATCATTGTTTCTGTATTTCATTGTCTGTGATGTCATTAAACAATTGAACGTGACATCAGTGCTTGCCGAGTTTTACTGCATAAATGTACATGAATAAAATGGATAATAAAGAAATAATTACACTCTCAAGTGTGCCATACAATTTATACGACACTCATGCGAAATTATGTATTGCCCGAGCGAGAAATACAAGATTTCACATTCGATTTCGTGTAAATCATGGGACACACTTGCTCATGTAATAATCTCTATATTCACACCGGCACTTACTGTGTGTTTCAGGACATGAAGCCAGTCCAGGTGCCCAAGGACAGGATCGGTCAGTTTTACAAGGGAGACTCGTATATCATTCTGAGCGTGAGTAGAACTCTGAATTACTTATTTGAATATATACATATATTTTGGTTTGTATGTACAAGATGTTGTTTTATGACAAACAGAACATTTATACCCTGTATTATCTACTGCCGACAACACTGTAACCGGACGGTCTGTTTTATGCACTATGGGGCATCCATGTTAAACTACAGCATGGTGTCTTTGTGGGATAACACCAGCATATTCGGACCAGTGACCAACGTCCACACATACATGTAGGCATGTCACTATCTAATTTGTAAATGAAACAGTTTTGATCATGACATTAAGCCTCACAAGGAGCATTGGAGTGGCCTACTGGTAAAGCGTCGGCTCATCCCGCCGAAGACCGGGTTCAATTCCCCACATGGGTACAGTGTGTGAAGCCCATTTCTGGTGTCCCCTTCCATGATATTGCTGGAATATTGCTGAAAGCGGCGTAAAACCATACTCACTCGGAAGTAACATCACCACCTCCATCTCTCATATCGCCAAAAGAATTCATCTTGAGCTTGAATGACCTTCTGTCAAAATATTCCAACTTTGGCATATAATGTATGTGTGAGCTCTTAACATGTTGAATCAAATTAAGCGTTCATATTTATTGAACTTTTAGCAATGGTGGCAAATGGGTCTTGTGTATTTTTATCATAATAGGCAATATGATTGGACACTGGATAATCGAGGATATACTGCTAGGTACTTTCTCAAAATACATTTTTTATTAGATTATGTAATGTAAGCAGTAGGAAGAATTAGTTAAACTTCTTTCAATGCTTATTTAACATTAATACTTCATTATGTTCATGACTGTACAACACATGTCTAGGAAGTGAAATACTGACATCATAATGGAATTATTGTATAACTGATTTTAACCTGACAGCTAACTGCCTTTGGACAGAGTCCTCGTGGACTCAATGTACAGGTAATGTAGGTGCTTTGCTCTTAGAATTCAATTTAGTTTACACCTGCATCCATGGCAACCTGTTTGGAGAAGGGCCACCTCCCATAGCAATGGATGAGAATTATTTTTGCTTTGTTTTAGTTGGGTGGCAGCACTAGTCATTTTATTTTTACACATTTTTTGTCCTAAACAAAAGGATTCTACACATATATACATATATGGAATGTTACAGAAATATATATTTATAATGATTTGTGTGAATGGATTATGACATAAAAGCATCACAACAATTCCGTCAATGTTGATCAGTGATTGGACCCGAGAAAATCTGGGTTCGAATTGATCTTCAGTAACCCATGCTTGTCGTAAGAGGCGACTAACGGGATTGGGTGGTCAGGCTAGCTGACTTGGTTGACACATGTCATTGTATCGATGCGTAGATCGATGCTCATGCTGTTGATCACTGGATTGTCTGGTCAATTATTTACAGACTGCTGCCATATAGCTGATGATGATGAATTGAACATGAGAATGGGTAATGGAAAATGTTAAATATTGTACACATTCACAAAACACATATAGACTGCAAAATCAGATAGCAGCACAGTGGGTGTAAGTTGAGGAGAACCTGTCTAAGGAAAGTAAACAGAAAAATACACACTCAGCAGATAGTAATCAGAGAACCTTAGCAAGATGGTCATAAGCACACTCAGCAAGATAGTAAACAGAAAAATACACACTCAGCAAGATAGTAACACAGCAATAGTAAATAATGCAAGATGGTAAACAGAAAAAAACACTCACTCAGCAAGATAGTAAACAGAAAAATACACACTCAGCAGATAGTAAACAGCATAATGCACACTCAGCAAGAAAGTAAACAGAAAAATACACACTCAGCAAGATAGTAAACAGCATAATGCACACTCAGCAAATAGTAAACGTGTAATAGTAAACGGCAAAACTGCACACACTCAGCAAGATGGTGCACACTCAGCAAGAAAGTAAACAGAAAAATACACACTCAGCAAGATAGTAAACAGAAAAATGCACACTCAGCAAATAGTAAACAGTGTAATGCACACTTAGCAAGATGGTAAACAGAAAAATGCATGCTCAGCAAGATAATTAACAGAAAAAAATGCACACTCAGCAAGATAGTAAACAGGAAAAAAAATGCACACTCAGCAAGATAGTAATAGGATATTACACAGCAGATAGTAAACAGGATATTGCACACTCAGCATATAGTAACAGAATATTGCACAGCAGATAGTGATGGGATATTGCATAGCAAATAGTGATGGGATATTGCGAAGCAGATAGTAAACAGGATATTGCACACTCAGCAAGATAGTAAACAGGATATTGCACACTTAGCAGATAGTAACAGGATATTGCACAGCAGATAGTGATGGGATATTGCGAAGCAGATAGTAAACAGGATATTGCACACTCAGCAGATAGTAACAGGATATTGCACAGCAGATAGTGATGGGATATTGCATAGCAGATAGTGATGGGATATTGCGAAGCAGATAGTAAACAGGATATTGCACACTCAGCAGATAGTAACAGGATATTGCACAGCAGATAGTGATGGGATATTGCATAGCAGATAGTGATGGGATATTCGCGAAGCAGATAGTAACAGGATATTGCACACTCAGCAGATAGTAACAGAATATTGCACAGCAGATAGTGATGGGATATTGCATAGCAGATAGTGATGGGATATTGCGAAGCAGATAGTAACAGGATATTGCACACTCAGCAGATAGTAACAGGATATTGCACACTATGATGTATTAATGTGTTGGTTCCTATTTTTCCCTTAACTCATTTTCACTCTTTCACACAAGGCACATGAGTGATGTTCAGTCAGTGTTGTGTGTAAGGTATTCCTCCCACAAGGCTCTACACCACCACATGCAGCTCACTGTTTCATGTTGTGACACACCTGTACTCACCTGTTGTACTTATAGGGAGTTCATGACCCGTGAAGATCCAGGGTAAAATAGGTCTTCAGCAACCCATTCTTGTCATAAAAGGCGAGTAACGGGATCGGGTGGTCAGGCTCGCTGACTTGGTTGACACATGTCATCGGTTCCCAATTGCGCAGATCGATGCTCATGCTGTTGATCACTGGATTGTCTGGTCCAGACTCGATTATTTACAGACCGCCATCATATAGCTGGAATATTGCTGAGTGCAACTAAACTCACTCACTCACTATAGGGAGTTCATAGGGGAACTTGATGTTTTGTTTTAAGTTTCAGGACGTTATATCAAAGCTTTTTGATTGTTTCACATCATCTATACATTTTTACTGAAGTTGTATTTATGAGTTGGCAATTGAAGATTTGTTTTAATGTTGTTGGGTCCGTTATGGATTTAATTTAATCAATATAGATTAATAAATGGTCATTAAATAGATAGGTAAATGAAGTATCATGGTTGGCCTAGACATAAGGTTCTGCAGTTTGCAACCTTTCTCACACCACACACCTAAGCTTGTGTGTTAGAACCCTCCCTCCCTCCCTCCCCACCACTCCTCCACTATCATGTCTGTGTGACATCAGTTTCAGCAAAGTCTATATAGTAGGCTGTGTAATACCCAATGCCATTTTATAAAGTGGTGAAATGTAACATATGTTATATTTGGGATTACACTTTCTCAGTAAAGTACAGATTCTAGTGCTGTTTTTTGGGGGGGGGTGTTGGAGTCCCATCCAGGATTCGAACCCACACCCTCAGAGTTAGACACCTAATCGCCAGCACACAAACCTAGACCACTGAGCCAGCGCAGCTTCCACAAAATTGGACTTCAGATGACTGGTAGTCTAGACTGCGGACTTTTTGGACCCCTCTGAGAAGTGTTAATTGGCATGGCTCCCCCGGACGAAAGCTATGAAATACACAATGCCATTTTAGAAAGTGGTCAAATGTAACATATGTTGTATTTGGGATTACACTTTCTCAGTAAAGTACAGATTCTAGTACTTTTAAAAAAAAAAAAGTACTAGAATCTGTACTTTACTGAGAGGTGAGGTGAGGTGAAGTGAAGTTGGGTTTAACGTTGTGCTTGAGAATATTTCGCTCATATGACGACATGCATGCCTGTGTATGTGTATGTGCGGCTGCTTGTACTAGCCCAGACTTAAGCTGGTTTTATAGTGCAAGCCCACTGAGATACCACACAGCAGTGAAGCATGAATACCCCACTCAGACACATTATACTGACTCCGAGCCGACCAGTCCTTGTTGTACCCATTAATGCCGAGCGCCAGGCAGGGACCAACAAGTACCATACGTCTTTTGGTATGACGCAGGTCGGAGATCGAAACCCGCGACCTTCCGCTCTCCGGACGAACGCTCTAACCACTACACCACGGAGGCGGTCACTTTACCGAGAAAGTGTAATCCCAAATATAACATATGTTACATATAGTAGGCTGTGGTTTAACTAGCTCAAGGGGACCTCACGTTTTAGTTTGTTAGTGGCAGTATGAATGTAGTTTACTGTATATCTGAGACCTGCATCACAGGTAAACAGAATCTGATGTTACTTGATAATGATTATTTTTGCATATTACGGAATCTTTAATCATATCAGTATAGGTCTACAAACAAATTAAAATGTTTATGTAGAAGGAAAAGTGTTGTGTGTCAGACCAAGATATAATTCAGGTAGTTACTTAATATGTGTCAGAGACCCATGTACTCATTGTTTCTAACATGCATGATGTGTAAAGGGGAAGTTGTCTTTTTACATTTTGTTTTTTATCTAATGATTTTCATTGTAAATGTTTTTATGTTTGATTTTCTTACATTGGGTGATGGAGTAGGCCAATTGTTGAAACATTTATTCATCACTGGAAGACTAGGGCCCTGTTCCGCAAAACGGTCATAGTGCTAAGATGATCGTAACTTCCATACTTTAACATAGACTTACGACTGTCGTAGCACGCTACAATCGCTTTGAGGAATGGGGCCCTGGTTCCATTCCCCATTGGGGTGAATTGTGTTCCATGGTTGATTATGTGTCAACATCCCCCAAACATGTGGATTGTTGTTCACTGTATTAATCACTGGATTGACTGGTCCATATTTATTTACAGGATGCCATTAGCTGGAATATTCCTGAGTGCACAATTAAGCAAAAGTAGTTCCCAAAGTAGACATGTTTCTACAAATGACACAAGCATGATATTGGTGTCTTAGACAGTCTTAGCACTATGTTAAGTAATCACCTAAGCCCTAAGATCGTTTTGTACAACAGTACCATGATATGTTTCAAATACTTAAGTTTAAACTTGAGGATATTATGTGTACACGACATATGGCTGACATTTTCAGAAAATGTGTAGCAGCCATCAATGATAAATATGTCAATAAAACATCTGCAGTGTCATCAATCATTGTTTTGTTGGAATGACATAATCTCTGGAACAGGTTTAGATTGTATACAGGGTCAATATTGATTTTGTATTTTAACAAAACTTTTTCTTATATTTTGGTGAAAGTTTTCTAGCCTTCAAGATTGATTGCATTTAGCAGTTCCATTTTCCTATTTTGTTCTTATTTTTGTATATTATTTAGAAACTGTTTCCATGGCACAAGCTGTGCCAGTGAGAGTTTCTGCCCAATTCTGTTCCTGAACTGCCATGAACAGCCCTGGTTGTTGACTGAGGTTATGGAGGTGCAATGTTGTCTGTCGGATGTGCTAGAAACCAATATTTGTGGGTTTGAATCCCCACACTGGTCAAACATCCAGGTTTCTTGGCGCCATGGCCTAGTGGTTAAAGCGTTGGCTCATCACGCCGAAGACCCGGGTTCGATTCCCCACATGGGCACAATGTGTTAAGCCCATTTCTGGTGTCCCCCGCCGTGATATTGCTGGAATATTGCTAAAAGCGGCGTAAAACTAAACTCAGTCAGTCAGTCAGTCTTGGCGCCATACCATTGGATAAACCAAAGTCATGTAACATGTTAGCTTTGCTCAATACATCGCTGTGGGCATTCCTGAGTACATTGTGCTTTAAGTATCTGTGGTTGTATTTACAGCTTTATCAAGCTTGTGAGATATGAAGACTGAAGTGTTTACATTTTGTGACTGGTCTGATTTTACGCCATTAGGATTCCCGAACCGAGAAGATCTCGTTAGAATTGGTCTTCACTAACCCATGCGTGTCGTAAGAAGCAACTAACGGGATCAGGCGGTCAGACTCGCTGAATTGATTGACACATGTCATTGTATCCCAGTTGCATCGATCGATGTTCATGCTGTTGATCACTAGATTGTGTGGTCCAGACTCAATTATTTAAGGGCCACCATCATGTAGCAGCAATATTGCTGAGTACATTGTTAAACACCATCGATTATATACCGACTGTGGTGTAACACACTCACTCACTCTGGTAAGGGAAAATGGTAGGTGTATGTTTTATTATCACCATGTAGTTCAGAGATTTTACTCAGATGTCCCTCATAGCCAATGTGTTTGTGAAGGACTACAATCAAGTTTGACAGATGTATTGCATGCAGACTGTATGTGTTTCAGATGAAAGAGGTGAAGGGGCAAAGGTTGGAGCAGAATATCCACTTCTGGCTTGGCAGCAAGACGTCACAGGTAGGCTTCTAACAGTTACTCAGTGGACTTTCTGGGTTGGGATATGTCCTTATCAACCTATGACTGACTTAATGGATCCAGTGGTCATCACTGTTGAAAGCATGTCGTTGTACACCACAGTATATTTCAGTAGTTTACACTCTCTAATACAACCTGGTTCCTGGTGGCATGGATGCCCATTGTGTTGCAATTCCTTGTGCAGAGGGGCGGTGGGGTAGCCTAGTGGTTAAAGCGTTTGCTCGTCACACTGAAGACTTTGGTTCGATTCCCCACGTGGGTGCAATGTGTGAAGCCCATTTTCGGTGATTGCTGGAATATTGGTAAAAGCAGCATAAAACCTCACTCACTCATTCATTAAGTCAGTCATTCACTGGAGTGCGGAAGGTCGCGGGTTCAATCCCCGACCTCGTCATACCAAAAGACGTTAAAATATGGTACTTGTTGGTCCCTGCCTTGCGCTCGGCATTAATGGGTACAACAAGGACTGGTCGGCTCGGAGTCAGTATAATGTGTCTGAGTGGGGTATTCATGCTTCACTGCGGCATGGTATCTCAGTGGGCTTGCACTATAAAACCAGCTTAAGTCTGGGCTAGTACAAGCAGCCGCACATACACATACACAGGCATGCACGTCGTCATATGAGCGAAATATTCTCAAGCACGACGTTAAACACCACCACCACTCATTCACTCACCCGTGCAGAGTTGTGCCCCTTGGAATGCCAGGAACTCTGTATCAAGTTGCGCCCCTCATTCATGCTTGGATCAGGGTTTATATCACTGTCATTTTTTTCCTGTTTATATTCCTTGTTGTTAGCTCCATGGCTTTCTGTCTTTTACCACCTGAGTCAATTTGTGCTTCCATTCAACATTTGGCTAATACTAATAGTGACATAAGTGAGGTACTGTTCTCTTGCTCAAAGCTTGTCATAATGATTTTATAGGTGAAATAGATCTAGAATTCCAAACTTATTGCTCTTGGAAGATAATGTAGATATATATTTTTTTTATCAAATTTGTATTTAAGTCAGTCATTTTCTTTTCTTTTCTTTTTTTTTTTAAATCACCTTCAGTGCTATGAGCATTTAAGGCTCCCCAGTCAAATACAACAACAGAAATATCCTTGTAATATTAAATGGGAAATTGTACTGATATTTTCTACAGACTTGGGGCCAAATATACATCTCTGAGCAGTTCTGGATGAGTCTCTGATGAAGCATGTGTTTGTGTTGTTGCAGGACGAGGCCGGGGGCTGCAGCATACAAGACTGTAGAGCTGGACGACTTCCTGGGAGGGGCACCTGTTCAGCATCGTGAGGTGGAGGGCAAGGAGTCAGAACTCTTCCTCAGCTACTTCGCCAAAGGACTCAAGTCAGTTCCCATCACACTTGTCCACTTCCCTCTCTGAACTGTTGCTATAGAAAATATTTTACTTAGTCTTATGTGATCTGAAAGCCATGTAATACAGTCCTCTAGACTATAGAACGTGAACAAATGTAACTTAGATACTGTGTTCTGACCATATGTTTGAGATCTCAGCTGAGTTTGACATATTGAATTGTTGAGTTATAATTGTGGTCTCTTGAATTATTCTCCCAAACTGCCTTTCTCAGGAGACAAGGTTAGATGAAGCACTTTCTCCTATGTTCTTCCCAGGAGGTATTTGTGCAGAGAAATTGTAACACAATACCACATAGGCAATTGTGACATCATCATAACCTTGATGTCATAAACAGAATGACTTCACTAAAGTACCTGTCGGAAATGGAAAAAAACCCTGATTTTTTGCATTTATATCTTTATTATAAACGATTGTTGATGTAAACAATAGTAACTTTAATACTGAAACTACAGTATAAACCTGATAAGTAAAATTTCAAGGGACTCGCCAAAATTGTTTACTTATCAGGTATTTTACTTATCCAAACTTATCAAAACCCGGAAATGACAGCAGAACAACAGACAACATTTGTAAGTAATATGACATGTTTTATTCCCTAACATTTCATTGCGTTAAGTTATACATTTATAATACAAAGTAATAAAAATCAAATTCATTGCGTTAAGTAATACATTTATAATACAAAGTAATAAAAATCAAACATAATGAAACAAAATATTTTAGTCTAACAGTCTAACATTTTACTCCACAAAAGATGTCATGAGGGATTGTCTCTGTGGTAGCATTCCTTAATTTTGTCCGAATTTCTGATCCAGTTTTACAAAGTAGCAGTGGGTATGTTGAATGTCTTTGCAACATCTGACTTTGACACACCATTTTCAATTTCTATAAGTACAGCGAATTTGTCCTCAATAGACTTTGCCACAAGTTTGTGTTTACCTTTGACAGAACGATTTGATCTCGGTACCCCCCCAGTCACGCTAGGTCCTTCGCGAGATTGCTCAGACATTTTGCCAGACCAGACTGACGATACATATTTTTTCCCTCTGTTTTATCCGATAGCATTTGTGTTAAATAAACAAGCATTTTTTCCAATTGATCTTATTCCGATATCGCAGCGAGATTGTACTTGTCACGTGACCGTAATGGCGGCCTGCTTCATGTCATTCACAATGTAAACTGGATAAACTCACTGTCATTGCTGATTGGTGTAATCACTGATACTCGCAAGCTACCTAAAACAATGAACAACTTATCAGGGCTGGCTTCCAGTTGTCAGTGTATTGTTAACTGCATAACGCCAGCGAGCTGTAAGTAGGATGTTTGTTTGACTGGAGACTGACACGTGCCCCTCATGTCGGATTATGTGGTGATCGCTAATTTAGTTATCCGGTCTCTTTTGTTAAGGAATTTACTTCCAGGGATCGTGAAAAAACCTTTAGTTAAGCGGTATTGTTTACTTATCCGAGTTTAGTTAACCGGACTCTAATAATGATAATTAATGAAGAAATTTGCCGGGACCAAAGAATAGTGTTTACTTATCCGGTATGTTTAGTTAAGCGGTCTTTACTTAAGCGGTTTCCACTGTATTAAGGATGTAGCTACCATGGAGTCTCACTATCACTATAAAAAGAAACAGGTTGGAGGGGTCATCTCAAACGATGTGTCAGGATGGGTGTCACAGACAGTGGTTGGGGTCGGGCTGGGTGATAGAGATATCAGCTGAGATAAGATAATCCTTTAGGGGAAATAGATTGGGGAAGCAAACAGCATGTCATAACAGTCCTGTTGATCATCAGGTGGTCATGCCACCTATATATTTTGAGACATTTATTACCAAGGCTGATTTAATAATGGGTATTATACTCTTTTTACATATCTCCACATAAACTTTGAGAAAGAAAGACACGTAAGATGTCAATCAATAGATGAAACATATTCAACACACATGAGAAAGCATAAAATATCTTTGAGATGACCCCTTGTGCCCATAGGCAGCACATGCATTTCATGCCAGGTGAGTCGACGTCATCATACCTGGCTGAGCGACCTAATTGCCATCTATAGTCTGATGTATTGTTTTCAGCAGCTATTGGTTTTTTCTTTCTAAGTTTTGCCCAATTTTACGAGTAAACATGCTTTTCTGAATATCCTATCACACATTCCACTGAATGTCCAGTTTGGCCGATGTGGGTTATTTCGACATATGCTATTTGACATTCTGTAAATTTTAGTGATACAGAGTAACAGCCTAAAAACAGTTTTTTTCTATTTCCAACAGTACTTTAATCTCTCTGCCATTGAACCTAGTTAGTTGTACCTACTACTGGGATTTCCAATATTTAAGCCCTGGGCTTAATAACGGAAAATGACCCTTCTTATTCACAAATATAAAGCCATAATTAAGCCCAGGGCCTAAATACAGGAAGTGCTTGTAACTGAAGAAAATCATTCTAAGACTCGATAAAATGGAATGAACTTTAATATGAGCGGAATAATACATAACACCTGAACCATAAACAATCATTAAAGAACTGTCATAAACCGGATCTTGAATGACACTCCCTCTTTTGATGAAATTTACATACTTTACTCTGGTCTTTGGGAACGTGTCCAATGATATTATCATATTTTATTGCGACTGCATGTGAGTCACATGGATTGAGAGTACCTGACATCTCTTGGGACTCCAAAACGTTCTGTACACATGAAAACCTCTAACTGCATGACAAACATGCACTACAAACGTTATATGTGCTGAAGTTTGCCATGTGCTTTTGCAAAGGGACGTCACTCTAAACAATATAATTTGAAATCTTAATTTAGGCCCAAAGGCTTAATAACAGGAAAATATCCCGTTTTTAAGCCCATGGGTGTAATTAAGAGTGGGCATAAATACGAGAAATCCTGGTACTGTCAAGAGACTGGTTCTTGGTGTTTACAAACCAGGAATGTCACCCATCCTCCGTTAAGTAAAAGTTGATATATTTAATGTCAAAAGACACTCAGGTGAGGTTTTCTGTTTAATGCAACTGTCCTGTCTCTCTGTTTCAGGACTATTGAGGGAGGTCACAAGTCGGGCTTCAATCATGTAGACAACACATTCCAGATCCGCTTGTACCAAGTAAAGGGCAAGAGGAACCCACGCATCTCACAGGTATGGGTCTTACTTAGTAGTCCCCATGTTGATGCAAACTATAACATTCATTCTGTATACAGTGTAATGTCAAATACTACTCATGTATTTCATATGATGTTTCAAATGCTGTGTATTTACATGTACAATGTGTAATAATAACGTCACATGCCTCACTAATGTGTTACAGTGTATATTGTACTGTTTACTGTGTGATACAGGTTGATATGAGCTGGGGGAGCATGAACCATGGCGACGCCTACATCCTTGACCTTGGTAAAGTCCTCTTTGTGTGGGTGGGCAATGACAGCTCCAGAAAAGAAAACTTCAAGGTGAGTGTGTTACATCGTATCAAAGGGTAAGCATGGTAGTGGGTAATTGTCTTGTTGTACTATTACAGATACATGTCTTGATGCATGTGACACATTTGATCCAGGTGACTGTGTAAAATATTACGGTTTTGAAGTTGCAAATCACTGAATGTGTGACCAATTTAGCTTAAGACTTAATGACAGGACTGGGATTTATCTTCTCTAATCACTCCATCTGGGGTATACGTATACTTCTTGTACAGTTAAAGTGAGTGAGTGAGTGTAGTTTTACACCTCTTTTAGCATTATTTCTGCAATATCATGACGGGGACATCAGAAATGGGCTTCACACATTGTACCCATGTTGGGAATTGAACTCTGTCTTCAGTTTGATAAGAGAACGCTTTAACCACTAGGCTACCCCACCGCCCCGCCCATTATTGGCAGTGTGTTGTGGCTGTTGTGTGTAACTGGACTCTAAAGGCAACAGGGGTGGTGGGGTAGCCTAGTGGTTAAAGCGTTTGCTTGTCACGCTGAAGACCCGGGTTTGATTCCCCACATGATAACGTGTCAATCCCATTTCTGGTGTCCCCCACCGAGATATTGCTGGAATATTGCTAAATTCGGCATTAAACCAAACTCACTCTAAAGGCAACAACCATTGTTCATGCTATCAACATTTGGTTTGCTGAACCCAGATACTTCACAGGCCAATGATATATTGGCTTCAGTAAAACAACATTCACTCAAGTTCTTACTCTTTCCAAGCAGTTATATTGCAAATATTACTTCAAGATATGTTTTTTGAAAGCATATTTCAATTTTGTATTTTTCATGTTTTCAGGCCCTGGAACATGCCCGGTCACTTCGAGATGAGCGTCCAGGAGGTATTGTTGTAACTGTTGACGATGGAGAAGAAGAGAAGATGACAGCTGATGAGAAAAAAGTTTGTGAATTAGCCACTGTAATAATAGATTAATAGAGCATCGCAATATGATTTGGTAACAAAGTATCATGACATCTTATATACTGTAAACGTACTTATTTTCGCTTGGTGCAATTTTTGCGGAATTGACAGTTTAGACTACATCGCGCGGTCAATTATTCGCGCAATCAGTAATTGCCGGAACTGCCAGCTGTCTCTTTGGCCGCCTCTAATAGCTGTGAAAACAAACAGAGTGGCTTAACCTGTCAGACGGCGTTTATTACTTACTCATAGGAAATCCCTATCTGTGCGATATACTAGTACACAGTAATCCGTTTACTCACGGAAGAGATGAAAAACACATCAGTCTTATGTTCCGCGAATTCTGACGATCTGACGAATTAACTTCTACTGTATATGAAGCTCTTTGTGATTTCAAACAAGCCGGGTTGTTGTGAATGAGATGATTGAGTGTTAAGTGACTATTCACTTCATGATGTACTGGTAAATAAAATCTTAATGAATAAATAAAATACTGCAGTATTATTTCTTTCCGAGTCGTTTCATGGTAATCTGTTTTGTATCAAACCATCTGTCATGTGACCAATTTCCATGGCGGCCACAACACACATTGCTGTTTTCGCTAATTCGGCGATGGGATCTGGCTCATTATTTAATTATGTTTTGGGAAATCCATTATAGCGACAGTTAAGTATGATTCTTTATGCTACTATCAGTCGTCATTTTAAGATTCCCGTAGATTTCTGTCTTCAAACTTGATGTGTTATGGTAACAACTCAGGAGCGAGTGTGGCTAGACTGAATGAATGACAGGTTTATTCGCGGTGTATAAATTTTCGCGCTAAAATGTTTTGCGCGAAAAGCGCTAAAATAAAACCTGCGCGAAATATAATACGTTCGTTTACAGTATCTGTTCTTGCTAATTTTCAATCCATTCCGTTAAAAACTTTTTAGGCCAAGGTAACAAAGTATCATGACATTGTATTTCTGTTCTTCATAGTAATAAATCCTTTGTGTCAAAAGCTTTTAATCCTGATAATTTTGATGTTGTTTTCATGTAATGAGCTTGTCTGTCTATCTATTTGTGTCTGGATCATACCCCCAGCCAATAGGTCAGTCTAAGTAAACTTAGGCTCAGTATCATTTGTTACACTGCTATACTGAGTGTAACAAACCCAAGTAGAAGGTCGCATCAGCTAACCTTTTGAATTGACCAATGAGAACACAGCTTACCAAATTGCCAAAGTTAACATTCGTACATACTGTTTGAACTTTTACCTCGAAAACATTTGTACTCGAACGATTCTGAATGCTATTTTCTGAGTGTTACTCACAACAGAGAGTAAACAGTCACTGAAAATAATGTTTTTGTCAATATTCCAGGATATTATATATGAGTTAACAGTAACCATGTCATCTGAAACCCCTAAGCGTATACACTAAAGGTCAAATATCTGTGTTTTATGCGAATAATTCATTTTGTTGAGAGATCAGTGTCAGTGACTGGGGAAGAGAAAATCCAAAAACATCTGCCGAACCCTGAAGAGTAGCTGTTGTCTGATTGGTTAAATTCTTTGTCCGTCTCGCGTTTGTTTGGACGGTCATAGGTTACTCAAAGGTTAGCTGACGACCTTCTTCTAGGGTTTGTGACACTCAGTATAGCAGTGTAACGAATAATAGTACTGAGCCTAAGTTTACTTAAACTGGCCAATAGGTATTCTTTCTTGAAATTTTGCACACACAAAGACCAGATGTTCATATGGTACCTTTTGCTATTTGGGGCTTTATGTAATTTATGTTTGTTTCTACTGCAAGAAGTTTAACTGGTTTTACAGCTTGTTAAGTAACAGTTCCATGAAACTTTGTGCACACACAGATATTGGATAAAAATTTGGTCATCTCTCTGAAACTGCTCTAATCCGACATTGTTTCCTGCAGCTGTTTGAGCAACATCTTCCCCTGAATGAGAAGTCACAGGTCAAGACCACAGAGTCTGTTGCTGCCGATAATGTGTTTGAAAGGAAGAGTGCTGAAAATATGAAATTATTCTCGTAAGTGTAGCTACATCCTCACCATTTCATCAGCTACTAGATGGCCATGAAGATCTGTGTTAGAAATAAGCTTCAGCAACCTTTGCTTGTTGTAAAAGACAACCAGTGTGATTGCCAGATCAGACTCATGTCAGCCAAGTCACTGAGTCATTGCATCCCAACTATGTAGACTGATGCACACAATGCTAATCACTAGATTATCTGGTCCAGATTCATTTACTTACAGAAAACTGTCATGTAGATGGAATATTTGTGATTTTGTCATCACTTAAAACAACAAACAAAAACAAAATCAACTGTTATGGTTTTCAAACAAAATTGGCTAAGACAGTCCCATAATGTGATCAACGAGTTGGAGACCTAGGTTCATTTCCCCACTCACTCATTTTGGCATTATGCCCACAAAGCTGAAGAAGAATGCTTGACATCGTATTGCATCTTCAAACTGATTTTATTTATTGTTTATCCCATTCCGCATGTAAGGTCCCTTTTGTTCTGCACATCAAGTACATTTTTTTTACCACAAAGTTGAAGATGCTGTTGGCCTCACAACTGATGTTATATATGTAGGTGTCGAGAAGAAGATGGGAACCTGACCATCAAGGAAGTGAAGACTGGGCCGCTGTCTCGTAAGGACATGACATCAGATGTGAGTCCAAATATACATGCATTGAAGATATGAATATATAGAATATAGCCCATGTAAGGCAAGGCAAAGAGGTTTATTGTACAAAAGGTCTCCGATCAGTATGCAAGGGAGATTTATTCATATATCATACTGTTACACATTCTTTAAATGGTTCATTTCTTTTGGTTAGTGCATGTTTAATAAATAATGAAAGATTTAATCTCATATGATTCATTCTGTCATTAAAATACTACAATTTAAATATATATTGTTAAGGAGTGACTTTACCATTTTATTGTTTCATCAAAAACTGAAGAACAGACTTTATAAATCCATATATAAAGTTCTTAAACTTACACTTCTGTATTTCTGTGTAACTGATAAAAATTAATCACAATGTCTTTGATATCAGGATTCCTTCATCATTGACTGTGGGCCAGAGCACATCTGGGTGTGGATCGGTAAACAGGCAACCAAGTCCGAGAGATCTGAGGCTATGAGGAATGCAGTGGTACGTACAAATGTATTAAGGGCAATAGGGTAGCCTAGTGGCTAAAGCATTTGCTCGTGACGCCAAAGACCCAGGTTTGTTTCCCCCACTCACTCTGAGGAATGGTGGGGTAGCCTAGTGGTTAAAGCGTTTGCTCATCATGTTGATGACCCGGTTTCGATTCCCAACAAGGATGCAATGTGTGAAGCCCATTTCTAGTGTTCCCAGCCATGATGTTGCTGGAATATTGCTAAAAGCAGCATAAAACCAAACTTACTCACTCACTCAAATATATTATATTACCTAAAGCAAACTAGGGTTTTATATTTTGCTTCACTGACTGCCTCCATGGTGTAGTGGTTAGAACATCTGCCAGGAGAGCAGAAGGTTGCAGGTTCGATCCCTGGCCATGTCATACCAAAACACATTAAAATATGGTAGTTGTTCCGTGCCTGGCGCTCAGCATTATTGGGTAAAACAAGGACAGTTTGGCTCAGAGTGAGTGTAATGTGTCTGAGTGGGGTATTCATGCTTAACTGCGGCATGGTATCTCAGTGAGCTAGCACAACAAACCAGCAAGTCTGGGCTAGTACAGGCAGCCACACACACACACATGCACATCGTCATATGAGGGAAATATTCTTAAGTATGACGTTAAACCCTATTTCACCTCACCTCTTTTGCTTTACTTCAAGTTACTTCCACAGACATTGACAGTCATGATGAATTACCGCGATGTGAGTCAAGTGATGCCACATCCCATTATGGGTTAGAAAGACATTTAATGTAAATTTACCAGGGATTATTGCTGACTATGACATGCACATTGAAAATTCAAAAAATAAATTAATGTTAAATTGGAAAAGTTTGGAGAAATGTTTGTTTAGCATTTTATTTCACTATTTCTGCAACGTGTCATTCCTACAAGATGAATTGATTTCCATGGAATGCAAATGTGCAACAGGTGGCAGTTAGAATATAACATATCTTTGGATTCACAAGCTAGGATTGTTATTTGTCAATTTAATGTTTAGAATCTAGTCAAGACTATATTAGTTTTAATCTTAAACTTATTATTTGGTACATTTATCATTTACATTTATTTATACCTGTGACCCTTTTAGGAATGTTCTGAGCTATCTTACATTTGTACCCATGTGTAATTTCCACAGTCTAAGAAGGACTGGTTTTCAAAGCAATCTAGCCATTGTTGTAATGGATGTAAACCAACCAGTGTTTGATATTTGTCATAACATAGAAATCTATTTTTACATTTGAATCTTCGTGCTCACTATATTTTCAAGTAGGTTTATCACCAATTTATTCTTGTTGTAGGGTTTCATTCAGAAGAAGGGCTACCCAACAGACACATCAGTGACACGAGTCGTTGATGGTGGAGAGCCTTCAGACTTCAAGTGTCTCTTCCCTGATTGGCCACAACCCCCACCTCCAGGAAAAGTCTACTCAAGAAGCAGAATAGGTGAGACATCGTCATATGAACAGTTGTGGGAGGGTGTAGATGGAGCCCACCCCTGTGTAGTCTACTCCAGAAGCAGAATAGGTGAGACATCGTCATATGAACAGTTGTGGGTGGGTGTAGATGGAGCCCACCCCTGTGTAGTCTACTCCAGAAGCAGAATAGGTGAGACATCGTCATATGAACAGTTGTGGGAGGGTGTAGATGGAGCCCACCCCTGTGTAGTCTACTCAAGAAGCAGAATAGGTGAGACATCGTCATATGAACAGTTGTGGGAGGGTGTAGATGGAGCCCACCCCTGTGTAGTCTACTCCAAGAAGCAGAATAGGTGAGACATCGTCATATGAACAGTTGTGGGAGGGTGTAGATGGAGCCCACCCCTGGGTAGTCTACTCAAGAAGCAGAATAGGTGAGACATCGTCATATGAACAGTTGTGGGAGGGTGTAGATGGAGCCCACCCTGGGTAGTCTACTCAAGAAGCAGAATAGGTGAGACATCGTCATATGAACAGTTGTGGGAGGGTGTAGATGGAGCCCACCCCTGGGTAGTCTACTCAAGAAGCAGAATAGGTGAGACATCGTCATCATATGAACAGTTGTGGGAGGGTGTAGATGGAGCCCACCCCTGGGTAGTCTACTCAAGAAGCAGAATAGGTGAGACATCGTCATATGAACAGTTGTGGGTGGGTGTAGATGGAGCCCACCCCTGGGTAGTCTACTCAAGAAGCAGAATAGGTGAGACATCGTCATATGAACAGTTGTGGGAGGGTGTAGATGGAGCCCACCCCTGTGTAGTCTACTCAAGAAGCAGAATAGGTGAGACATCGTCATATGAGCAGTTGTGGGAGGGTGTAGATGGAGCCCACCCCTGGGTAGTCTACTCAAGAAGCAGAATAGGTGAGACATCGTCATATGAGCAGTTGTGGGAGGGTGTAGATGGAGCCCACCCTGTGTGTAGTCTACTCCAAGAAGCAGAATAGGTGAGACATCAGTCATATGAGCAGTTGTGGGAGGGTGTAGATGGAGCCCACCCCTGGGTAGTCTACTCAAGAAGCAGAATAGGTGAGACATCGTCATATGAACAGTTGTGGGAGGGTGTAGATGGAGCCCACCCCTGTGTGTAGTCTACTCAAGAAGCAGAATAGGTGAGACATCGTCATATGAACAGTTGTGGGAGGGTGTAGATGGAGCCCACCCCTGTGTAGTCTACTCAAGAAGCAGAATAGGTGAGACATCGTCATATGAGCAGTTGTGGGAGGGTGTAGATGGAGCCCACCCCTGGGTAGTCTACTCCAAGAAGCAGAATAGGTGAGACATTGTCATATGAGCAGTTGTGGGAGGGTGTAGATGGAGCCCACCCCTGGTGTAGTCTACTCAAGAAGCAGAATAGGTGAGACATCGTGATATGAGCAGTTGTGGGAGGGTGTAGATGGAGCCCACCCCTGGGTAGTCTACTCAAGAAGCAGAATAGGTGAGACATCGTCATATGAGCAGTTGTGGGAGGGTGTAGATGGAGCCCACCCGTGTGTAGTCTACTCAAGAAGCAGAATAGGTGAGACATCGTCATATGAGCAGTTGTGGGAGGGTGTAGATGGAGCCCACCCCTGGTGTAGTCTACTCCAAGAAGCAGAATAGGTGAGACATCGTCATATGAGCAGTTGTGGGAGGGTGTAGATGGAGCCCACCCCTGTGTAGTCTACTCAAGAAGCAGAATAGGTGAGACATCGTCATATGAACAGTTGTGGGAGGGTGTAGATGGAGCCCACCCCTGTGTAGTCTACTCAAGAAGCAGAATAGGTGAGACATCGTCATATGAACAGTTGTGGGAGGGTGTAGATGGAGCCCACCCCTGTGTAGTCTACTCAAGAAGCAGAATAGGTGAGACATCGTCATATGAACAGTTGTGGGAGGGTGTAGATGGAGCCCACCCGTGTGTAGTCTACTCAAGAAGCAGAATAGGTGAGACATCGTCATATGAACAGTTGTGGGAGGGTGTAGATGGAGCCCACCCGTGTGTAGTCTACTCAAGAAGCAGAATAGGTGAGACATTGTCATATGAACAGTTGTGGGAGGGTGTAGATGGAGCCCACCCCTGTGTAGTCTACTCAAGAAGCAGAATAGGTGAGACATCGTCATATGAACAGTTGTGGGTGGGTGTAGATGGAGCCCACCCGTGTGTAGTCTACTCAGAAGCAGAATAGGTGAGACATCGTCATATGAGCAGTTGTGGGAGGGTGTAGATGGAGCCCACCCGTGTGTGTAGTCTACTCCAGAAGCAGAATAGGTGAGACATCGTCATATGAACAGTTGTGGGAGGGTGTAGATGGAGCCCACCCCTGTGTAGTCTACTCAAGAAGCAGAATAGGTGAGACATCGTCATATGAGCAGTTGTGGGAGGGTGTAGATGGAGCCCCACCCTGTGTAGTCTACTCAAGAAGCAGAATAGGTGAGACATCGTCATATGAACAGTTGTGGGAGGGTGTAGATGGAGCCCACCCCCTGTGTAGTCTACTCAAGAAGCAGAATAGGTGAGACATCGTCATATGAGCAGTTGTGGGAGGGTGTAGATGGAGCCCACCCCTGTGTAGTCTACTCCAGAAGCAGAATAGGTGAGACATCGTCATATGAACAGTTGTGGGAGGGTGTAGATGGAGCCCACCCCTGGGTAGTCTACTCAAGAAGCAGAATAGGTGAGACATCCCATATGAGCAGTTGTGGGAGGGTGTAGATGGAGCCCACCCCGTGTGTAGTCTACTCAAGAAGCAGAATAGGTGAGACATCGTCATATGAACAGTTGTGGGAGGGTGTAGATGGAGCCCACCCTGGTGTGTAGTCTACTCAAGAAGCAGAATAGGTGAGACATCGTCATATGAGCAGTTGTGGGAGGGTGTAGATGGAGCCCACCCCGTGTGTAGTCTACTCAAGAAGCAGAATAGGTGAGACATCGTCATATGAACAGTTGTGGGAGGGTGTAGATGGAGCCCACCCCTGTGTAGTCTACTCCAGAAGCAGAATAGGTGAGACATCGTCATATGAGCAGTTGTGGGAGGGTGTAGATGGAGCCCACCCCTGTGTAGTCTACTCCAAGAAGCAGAATAGGTGAGACATCGTGATATGACAGTTGTGGGAGGGTGTAGATGGAGCCCACCCTGTGTAGTCTACTCAAGAAGCAGAATAGGTGAGACATCGTCATATGAACAGTTGTGGGAGGGTGTAGATGGAGCCCACCCCTGTGTAGTCTACTCAAGAAGCAGAATAGGTGAGACATCGTCATATGAGCAGTTGTGGGAGGGTGTAGATGGAGCCCACCCCTGTGTAGTCTACTCCAAGAAGCAGAATAGGTGAGACATCGTCATATGAGCAGTTGTGGGAGGGTGTAGATGGAGCCCACCCCTGTGTAGTCTACTCCAGAAGCAGAATAGGTGAGACATCGTGATATGAGCAGTTGTGGGAGGGTGTAGATGGAGCCCACCCCTGGGTAGTCTACTCAAGAAGCAGAATAGGTGAGACATCGTGATATGAGCAGTTGTGGGAGGGTGTAGATGGAGCCCACCCCTGTGTAGTCTACTCAAGAAGCAGAATAGGTGAGACATCGTGATATGAGCAGTTGTGGGAGGGTGTAGATGGAGCCCCACCCTGTGTAGTCTACTCAAGAAGCAGAATAGGTGAGACATCGTCATATGAGCAGTTGTGGGAGGGTGTAGATGGAGCCCACCCTGTGTGTAGTCTACTCAAGAAGCAGAATAGGTGAGACATCGTGATATGAGCAGTTGTGGGAGGGTGTAGATGGAGCCCACCCTGTGTAGTCTACTCAAGAAGCAGAATAGGTGAGACATCGTCATATGAGCAGTTGTGGGAGGGTGTAGATGGAGCCCACCCCTGTGTAGTCTACTCCAGAAGCAGAATAGGTGAGACATCGTGATATGAGCAGTTGTGGGAGGGTGTAGATGGAGCCCACCCCTGTGTAGTCTACTCAAGAAGCAGAATAGGTGAGACATCGTCATATGAGCAGTTGTGGGAGGGTGTAGATGGAGCCCACCCCTGGGTAGTCTACTCAAGAAGCAGAATAGGTGAGACATCGTGATATGAGCAGTTGTGGGAGGGTGTAGATGGAGCCCACCCCTGGGTAGTCTACTCAAGAAGCAGAATAGGTGAGACATCGTCATATGAGCAGTTGTGGGAGGGTGTAGATGGAGCCCACCCCTGTGTAGTCTACTCAAGAAGCAGAATAGGGTGAGACATCGTGATATGAGCAGTTGTGGAGGGGTGTAGATGGAGCCCACCCCTGGGTAGTCTACTCAAGAAGCAGAATAGGTGAGACATTGTCATATGAGCAGTTGTGGGAGGTGTAGATGGAGCCCACCCCTGTGTAGTCTGCTACTCCAGAAGCAGAATAGGTGAGACATCGTGGATATGAGCAGCTGTGGGAGGGTGTAGATGGAGCCCACCCCTGTGTAGTCTACTCAAGAAGCAGAATAGGTGAGACATTGTCATATGAGCAGTTGTGGGAGGGTGTAGATGGAGCCCACCCGTGTGTGTTGTCTACCCAGAAGCAGAATAGGTGAGACATCGCGGATATGAGCAGTTGTGGGAGGGTGTAGATGGAGCCCACCCCTGTGTGGAAGTCTACTCCAGAAGCAGAATAGGTGAGACATCGTGGATATGAGCAGCTGTGGAGAGGGTGTAGATGGAGCCCACCCCTGGGTAGTCTACCAAGAAGCAGAATAGGTGAGACATCGCAAGAATAGGATATGAGCAGTTGTGGGAGGGTGTAGATGGAGCCCACCCCTGTGTAGTCTACTCCAGAAGCAGAATAGGTGAGACATCGTGATATGAGCAGTTGTGGGAGGGTGTAGATGGAGCCCACCCTGTGTAGTCTACTCAAGAAGCAGAATAGGTGAGACATCGTGATATGAGCAGTTATGGGAGGGTGTAGATGGAACCCACCCGTGTGTGTAGTCTACTCCAGAAGCAGAATAGGTGAGACATTGTGATATGAGCAGTTGTGGGAGGGTGTAGATGGAGCCCACCCGTGTGTAGTCTACTCAAGAAGCAGAATAGGTGAGACATCGTCATATGAGCAGTTGTGGGAGGGTGTAGATGGAGCCCACCCGTGTGTAGTCTACTCAAGAAGCAGAATAGGTGAGACATCGTCATATGAGCAGTTGTGGGTGGTTGACAGACCCCAGTTAAGGTGGGTGACAGGAGATTGTCATTGAGAATGTAACTTTTAATTTTGAAAAATATTAAAATTGTGTCACAGCAGATAGTGAAAGGACATTAACTGGGAGAAATATGTATTTAGTAATTCAATCACACGATGATGATCCGAAACAGAAATCGACAGTGGCCTTTTGCAGCAACATTTAGTCAGTCACATGACCTTGTGATTTAGCAAAACAGGGTCCAATCCACAAAACATTTCTAGCGCTATGACATTCGTAAGCGTATGACAAACTATAGAATTACAACAGGTGTACGCTACGAACGCTTTGTTGAGAGGGACCCTGGAGGCAATATCACACTTGTACTACATATAGCTGGAATATTGTTGAGTGTGGCATTAACCAACAGACATGTAACATTTGTTTGATGGATGTGTTGGTCTTGGGGAATGTTTGATAGCCATGTGTCTTGTTTCTGTAGCTAAGACGGTCCAGACCAAGTTTGATGCATCAACTCTGCACAACAACACAGCCCTTGCTGCTGAGAGTCAAATGTTTGATGATGGAACCGGGAAGGCCGAGGTGGGTAGACCAGCAGGTGCTTGTCCTGTCAGTGATACATTAGACAATGTGACCAAAACATGTTTACATGTTAATAACATACCGGTAATATCTGACTTACAATAAATGGGAACCTCAAGTTAATATTCACCTATTGCTTAAAGTTAAATTTAAAGATTTCATTTCAATGAAATTATCTGCATTGGTGAAAATTGCGTGTAGATTCTTTTTGCACTAATTTAGTTATTTCTTTCGTTAGCTGCAAATAGCTGGTGTGGCTTAATCAATCAGTTCTTTTGAGTAGTGTAGCTGACTAGTGGGTTGGGTTTGAACAACCACTCACGGACTGTACAGGGTGGATGGTGGCCAGTTCTAGCACTGTTTCACATGTGCTTACCCAAATGCAGGAAGCACACTGAAAACCACTGTCACATCTGGCTGTTGGTAAATACCCTGTCACAGTTAGTTGTAGCAGTGAGGGAGAGGTGGGATAGCTTAGTGGTTACAGCATTCGCTAGGGTTCGATTCCCCTCATGGTTACAATGTGTGAAGCCCATTTCTTGGGTCCCCGCTGTGATATTGTTGGAAAGTTGCTAAAAGCAGCGTGAAACCATACTCCCTCACTGTAGCAGTGAGCATGAGTTACTGAGTGTTCACTTGCCTGTCACACTGAAGACGCCACCTAGGGGCAAGTGTGAACCAGTTCGTAATGTCCCTGCCATTATGTGGTTGGAATAGTGGTAACGCAGCCATAAACCATTCAGCTCAAGTAGAAGAATAATAATATTGATTTTAAGAGACTCATTCATTAAGATAACCTTGACTTTTCTACAGGTGTGGCAGGTGCAGGACTTCGACCTGGTAGAGGTTGACAAGAACACCTACGGGGACTTCTATGCAGGTGACAGCTACATCGTCAAGTACACATATAAAGTGAATGGCCGCGAGCACTACCTCATCTACTACTGGCAGGTAAGCAGGGGATACCTTGAATTAGTGGAATTTGGACATGGGGGTGGAGAATAGTCATAGAGGTGGTTCTGTGTTTTCGATAAGATTGGGTTTTCGTTAAAACATTTTTTATAAGTGTTATTAGGATAGTGTTCAGTAACCCATGCTTGTCATAAGAGGCGAATAACGAGATCGGGTGGTCAGACTCGCTGACTTGGTTGACACGTGATCATATCCCAATTGCGTAGATCAATGATCATGCTGTTGATCCCTGGATTGTCTGTTCCAGACTCGATTATTTACAGACTGCTGCCATATACCTGAAATATTGCTTAGTGTGGCATAAAACGAAACTCAATGAAATGAAATCAAATCGGAAATAGATTCAGTATGGGAGGCCTCATGGCTGCCTGTATCACTGCCTGTTTGTGTGATCACTGACCTGCTTGTGTCATCACTGACTTGCTTGCTGTTGGCAGGGAAGCAAGTCTACAGCTGATGAGAGGGGGACGTCGGCACTGAAGGCTGTGGAGATGGATGACGCCCTCGGAGGTGCCGCAACACAGGTGGGGGACTCGCAGTTATGCAAAACAAAGAAATAGTAAACAGAACAAAAGTTTGGGAATGAAGAATTTTTGGCCTACTAAAATAGTATATCTGGACAGAAATAGCTTTCTGCAGAAAGAAAAGACAGCTTTTGCATTATTTACAGACATATTTAATCAATATTTAGGCAATGAAAATTGTAAGGATGAACTTGTAATATGACTTTGATTAAGTGTTTATCAAATGTTTATGAAAGAGCTGCAAACATGCACATGCATTTATCATGTGCACATTTAACAATCATTGTGACCGATTTGGAATTTACACAATACCCTTGTGTTCCAGATCCGAGTTGTCCAAAATAAGGAACCTCCGCACTTCATGGCCATGTTTGGTGGCAAGATGGTCATCTTCAGTGTAAGTAGCCTCCTCAGTACAGAACATGGGTTGGTCAGATAAATCATTATCAGTTTTGCCTCAATGTGAGATTGATCATGTAGGAGTTCTGATCCCTGACTGGTCAATTCCACTTTGAAGCATAATGATATTGGCATCTGTATTTACTGTGTCATGTATCTTGTTATGGTCGAGGTCAGCTGGGGCAGTGGGGTAGTCATGATAACTGGAATGGGTTAATGTGTTCCATGACACTGTAAAAATTAATTTTGATCCATTTTGAAATTAAAACATGTGTTGTGTTTGTAGGGTGGCAAAGCGGGCTGGCAGAAGGGGGACAAGGATCTGGGCCCAGGGGACAAGTACATGCTCCAGGTTCGGGGAACATCGGAACTGAACTGCAAGGCTGTTCAGGTGAGTGTCAAGGATACCGCAACAGGAAATCAAACCACAGTACAGGCTGGGACAAGTCCCACTTTACTACTGGGGTTTGAGACTCCATATCCGTGTGGAGCACGGTGGTGTAATGGTTAGCTTGCTGGCCTCTCACGCCAAAGGCCCGGGTTCGAATTCCGGTGGAGACACCAAAATTTGTGACCTGGGTCTCATACTGTGTTGTGTCCCTGGGCAAGGCACTTCGTCCACATTGCACTCAGTCCACCCAGCTGTTCAAAATGGGTACCTGAGATGCGGATGTACAGACCTATACGGTCGCGCTTAGCAATTAGTAGCAGCTTTGAAAGTACAATTCCGTCAGGGTAATAATGTAACGCCAGAGAGTAGCACCGTGTTGGATCCTAGGTGCAAAAATTAGCATTATAATTATTATCTAGGTACTTGAAGGTTTCGAAAGTTGGGTACAAAGTGTCCAATTGTGAATTGATTTACAGGAGCCAACATGCCCACCACTGAATTACTTACTGGAAGAGATGGTTTGATAATACTAACAGGCAATTTGATTTGAACCTTGTTATACTTAGTTTAGGGACTTAAAAATTCTTAATGACACTAGTCAACATAGTTATCTCCCTTGAAAGTAGTTTACTTGTTTCTGTCGCCACGCGCAAAGATTCTTTTTTTACATTTTCAGCCATTTATTTTCCAATTATGTTTGTAAAGTTTTGTCAATTTATTCAAGTTGTGTATTGAAAAAGGAAACCAAGGTGTCATAGCATGCAAGTTTTCTGGAAGTACTTCCATTGTAACTTTTACTAGATAATTTGCGTGTGTATAGTACAGTTTAATTTGAAATATTTGACTCTGTTTATATGAATGGAACTAATTAAGAATCTCATCAACAATTAAGTTTTCTATTCTTATTCATGCCTGAGCATTGTTTTAAACAATTTATCAGTAGTTTTATTTTAATCAATACCACTACAGGTGGACCTCTCCGCAACATCGCTCAACTCCAACGATGTGTTTGTGGTGTTAACCAAGTCAACAGTCTGCATCTGGGCAGGAAAGGTAAGTGTGGGTGCCTTGTCAAGATTGGGGAGATATAAATAGTAAGATTCTGCCTTAAACAAGCCTTAACACTAATGCTTGTTGTAAAAGTTGTAAGTTAGTACCCTGATGTCGTTGATTATAACTCACTAATTCAATGCATAGTTTATCTGGAGCAAACAAAATTTACAGCCTAGAAGATGAAGATGCAAGCTTGCCAGCTGCTCTGTAGAAACATCACTGTCTGACAGCTAGTCATCAGTTAGCCTAGTGGTGAAATAGGCTCATATCACACCGAAGGCCCGGGTTCAGTTCCCCCCATGGGTGCAATGTTTGAAGCCCATGTCTGGTGTTTTCTGCTGTGATATTGCTGGAATATTGCTTAAAGCAGGGTAAAACCCAACTCACTCACTATTCTTCTGTCAACAGGTGACGTATCATCACACTGACTCATGTTCCTATATTTCAGCCTAGTTTGGCAATGGCGGAAACTGGACTTTTATTATCAGTTATCTCCCTTGACCCCAGAGGATGTATGGTTAAACTCCTATGGCTGGACATCTGCATTGAGTTGCAAGAGTTTTGTGTTGCCGTTTTCCTAACATCCTTTTACACTTATTGTCATATGCAAGAAGGCTTCTGATTTGCATCAAATATTCCATTTAGTATTATTCAGTATTAAGTTGTTCAATAAGTATTAGTTTATATACCTGAAATTTAAGAGTTGACTCAATCTTTGTTCCAGGGTAGCACTGGAGACGAGCGTGAGTACGGAAAGAATATAGCTTCCAGATCACCAAGGTAATGCTTTAAACAGTGCATGAGTTCTCTGTTATACAGTGATGTACCTCCATGTGTTATACTGTGCTGTTATAACACAGTGATGTATCTCCATGTGTTATACTGTGCTGTTATAACAGTGATGTACCTCCATGTGTTATACTGTGCTGTTATAACACAGTGATGTACCTCCATGTGTTATACTGTGCTGTTATAACACAGTGATGTACCTCCATGTTATACTGTGCTGTTATAACACAGGGATGTACCTCCATGTGTTATACTGTGCTGTTATAACACAGGGATGTACCTCCATGTGTTACACTGTGCTGTTATAACACAGGGATGTACTTCCATGTGTTGTACTGTGCTGTTATAACACAGTGATGTACCTCCATGTGTTATACTGTGCTGTTATAACACAGTGATGTACTTCCATGTGTTGTACTGTGCTGTTTTAACAGTGATGTGCCTCCATGTTTAATACTGTGCTGTTATAACACAGTGATACCTCCATGTGTTATACTGTGTTGTTATAACCACTAATGATATACATCCATGTGCTATACTGTGCTATTATAACACCCAATGATATACATCTATGTGTTGTACTGTGCTGTTATAACACAGTGATATACCTCAATCGGTTGTACTGTGCTGTTATAATACATCATGATATACATCCATGTGTTATACTGTGCTGTTATAACAGTGATATACCCCCCACGTGTTGTACTGTGCTGTTATAACATACAGGGATATACTGTAATGAGTTATACTGCCCTCTGTTATTTAACAGTGTCAGACATTTGCACTGAGAATCATAATTACTAGCCACTAATGCTCTATAAATTAATTAAGATTACCGTCATTATCTGTCTACGTACACAAAGCCGGAAATAGCAATCAGCTGTGCACACGCTTCCCGCTAACAAGTTCAAACATGCACAATAATATAACGGGATGAATTCTATTGATTGAATACTATTATTTAACCTAAAAAAAATATATCCTAGCATTGTGTAATAGTTTTTATGTAAAAAATATATAATCAACACTAAGGTTATACGGACCATCATGAACGTGGTAAGCACGCGTGACATGGAACGAGGCGTAATCAGTTTGTGATTGTTGAATGGGGTAAAATAAGCAAGCCAGTTTGTTGCTACAATAAATATGATATTTAGAGAAGCAAAATATATTATGCATTTTCTGTCAACTACACTTCGCTTCGATCCGTGAGTAGACAACAATATATATGACAGTGAATTCTTTGAATAATGTGGATCGACAGTGACACGGAATTTGATGGGTTTACGGGCCGATGACTTGTGAAAATCTTACGGTAAATTGGGGCTTTACACAGGTCGTGAGTTGTTGACTTGACATACATTTGCAGCCAGTATCACAAATACTAGCCACTAAATGAATCATTTTGCTGTTTTAAAACTTCAGAAGTTATAACATTTTTTAGGTTCTGTGAAGTTGAGGGTAATTGTAGAATTTGTATTGACAGATTGTAAAAATGGAGCTCCACATAGTTATTTACAATGCAGAATTTTCAGGATTATCTTCCTTATCAAGAGTTGTCTGAATTTTTGTATTTTGTTTTGGGAGGTTTATCGCATGCTTTTCTGTTGATTTCAGAACTCATGAGATGGTGTTTGAAGGACAGGAAAAGGAATCTTTCTGGAATATTTTAGGTGGCAAACAGCCCTACGCTAGTGACAAACGGTTACAGGTTCCGTATCAGACATCATTTGGTTCAGGAAAAAAAGTTTTGAAGGCTCTGTGTTCTGCATTTGAGTCAGTATTGCATAAAACAGATAATTTGGTGAGAAAAAAATGCAGTTAAAGTTTCAAACCTGCATAAATACAATTGCAATTTGTTTGTCTCTTTAGAAATTCAATTTCATCTCCGAATAAATGTGGTAAAATGTTTTATATGTTTTTCCCTTACTTGTCCCCTCCTTAATGATTACATGTATAGTTGTCTACTAGGGTGTATAAAATGAATTAAATAATATGTTCAATTGTCCTTCCCGGTCAGGATGATGAGTCAGCCCACCCTCCTCGCCTGTACCAGATTTCCAATGCATCTGGCAGAATTAGAGCAGAACAGATCCAGGACTTTGTTCAGGTAAGTTCATTGTCACTGTTAGACATTAAACAGGAGCCTGGTGGACTTGTGCCACACAATCTGTATTCATGGACCCTAGAGTCACTAAAGTGACCGAACTATCACTTTCAACATTATGATTGTGATCAGTTCACTATCATACTTAAAGGCGAAGACTAATATTTGGTGGATATATAGATTTGAAGCATTTTAAAATGTTTGCTTTTGAGAAGAGAACTTTTTCATAGTTTTAACCACAGTAAACAGCTTCTTGTGTACATGTAGTATGGAGAATATCTATAATGGCTGAAATTGTCAGGTACTGTGTATATTGTCACATTCACTTATACTGGTACATAATAGACATAATCCTAAACATTGTCTTGATAGGTTTGATTATTTACAGATATGACGTAGCTGTAATATTGCTGTCATGCTTAACAACCCACTACAATATGTTCAAGAACTATATCAGTGACATACCATGATTCCAGGATGACCTTGTGCCTGAGGATGTGATGCTGTTGGATGTGTGGGATTCCCTGTATCTCTGGGTCGGATCTGGATCTAACAAGAAAGAGAAGGATTCAGCAGAAACAGTTGCTCTGGTATGATGCATGATGTGTTACCTTCACAACTTTCGACCGCCTCTGTGGTGTAGTGGTTAGAGCATCCGCCCGGAGAGCGGAAGGTCACGGGTTCGATCCCCGGCCGCGTCATACCAAAAGACGTTAAAATATGGTACTTGTTGGTCCCTGCCTGGCGCTCGGCCTTAATGGGTACATCAAGGACTGGTTGGCTCGGAGTCAGTATAATGTGTCTGAGTAGGGTATTCATGCTTCACTGCTACATAGTATCTCAGTGGGCTAGCACTATACAACCAGCTTAAGTCTGGGCTAGTACAAGCAGCTGCACATACACGCGCATGCACATCGTCATATGAGCGAAATATTCTCAAGCATGATGTTAAACCCAATTTCACCTCACCTCACCTTCACAACTTTTAAACCTATCCTGTATCATCTCTCTCTTCTCAGGCAATATTGAGTGGAAACATGGTTGGAACCAAATGTTTCCAGTTTCTAAACACTTCACCCAAACACACCCAGTAGTTACCACCACCTTCCCGTGTCAGTGCCACATTTCTGTGAGATAGGTTAAGTTCTTTTTATAAACTATTTATTCTAAAATTTCCAACATAGCTGATGTAGGACTCACTTTACTCGGGGTGCATATTAAGGCTATTATCATTCGCTCACGTGTTTGATGATTCGAGCAGTATCCCTTCATAAGTTTAATTTGTTATTCATGGTCACTAGAAATATTTATGCTTTTTAAATGTTTATCACTTCATATATATCATATTCGCCTCATACTCATAGCATATTCGTTGCAGCCCCAGATATATGTAGGTTAAAAATCAGAATAATTACTTACCTTGCCATTTGTGTCCTGTAGAGATTTCTTGTTCAGATTAGATGTTTAACATATGCCTCCTGCATTATTCAGGAATACTTGAGCACAGACCCAGCAGGGAGGGACAAGGACACGCCCATCATCAAGGTCAAGCAGGGTCTCGAGCCACCAACATTCACCGGCTTCTTTGGGGTCTGGGACAGAGATCTCTGGAGCGTAAGTGTTGTTTAAATACTAGAACATACCTCATAGAGAGGAACAACATGAACATTAGGTGTACAGACTTTGTTTCATGGATATAACAGTATAGCATAGAGATTGTTTGTTTTTTGTTTAACGCCACACTCAGCAATATTCCAGATATATGGCGGTTGTCTGTAAATAATTGAGTCTGGACCAGACAATCCAGTGATCAACAGTATGAGCATCGATTTACGCATTTGGGATACAATGACATGTGTCAACCTAGTCAGCAAGCCTGACCACCTGATCCCATTACTTGCCTCTTATGACAAGCATGGGTACTTCACGAGTGATAGCACAGAGTGACTGAGTGAGTGAGTTTAGTTTTACGCTGCACTCAGCAATATTCCAGCTAGATGGTGGAGGTCTGTAAATAATTGAGTCTGGACCAGACAATACAGTGATCAACAGCATGAGCATCGATCTGCGCAAGTGGGAACCGATGACATGTGTCAACCAAGCCAGCGGGCCTGACCACCCGATCCCGTTAGTCGCCTCGAACGACAAGCTTGGGTTACTGAAGGTACATTCTAACACGAACCTTCACGGAATTGATAGAATAGAGGTATATCATTGGGTGTTATTACAGAGGCCAGTATAACCATGGTGGTATATTGTTGGGTGTAATAACAGAAGGAAGTATAAACATTGAAGGTCATTGGGTGGTATAACATGGAAACTTTGTATAAATGTTGTGTTTCAGTAGTACTAGAGTGTTTCAAAAGAGGACAATATAACATTGGGTGATAAACATGAACACTTTCTTAAGGTTGTGCTTCAGGGGGTACTTGACCCGTGAAGGTCCGGGTTAGAATATTGGCCTTCAGTAACCCATGCTTGTCGTAAGAGGAGACTAACAGGATCGGGTGGTCAGACTCGCTGACTTGGTTAACACATGTCATCGGTTCCCAATTGCGCAGATCGATGCTCATGCTGTTGATTACTGGATTGTCTGGTCCAGGCTTGATTAGTTACAGACCACCGCCATATAGCTGGAAAATTGCTGAGTGCGACGTAAAACTCAACTCACTCACACTCACTCAGATGTACTTTGGTGGTTTAACACATTTCTGTATGCTGTTGCAATAACAGTCAACACTGGATGAACAACGATTGAGTCCATATGAAGCAGCAGCATGAGTTCTTCTTATGTAATGTTTTGTATGTTCTGTCCACAGAAAGGCAAGACGTATGAGGAACTGAAGCAAGAGTTGGGAGCACAGGCTGTGCAAGGTTCGCTAGTCCAGGAGGCTATGAACGGCAATGACCAGGACTTCAACGAGGTTCCCAAGTACACCTACTCACAACTCATAGTGGCAACAGATGAACTACCCAGTGGGGTCAACCCAGAAAACAGAGAGGTAAAGCCAGCACTGGGTGGAACATAGGGTTCTGGAACACGAGGGGCGGTGGGGTAGCCTAGTGGTTAAAGCGTTGGCTCGTCACGCCGAAGACCCGGTTCGAATCCCCACATGGGTACAATGTGTGAAGCCCATTTCTGGTGTCCCCGCTGTGATGTTGCTGGAATATTGCTAAAAGCGGCGTAAAACCAAACTCAGTCAGTCAGTCAGTCAGTCTGGAACACGATCAGTGTAGATATTCATGACCCTGTCAGTCCAGATTATTGATAACACTGTGTACATAGATACAGAGGACATTTATGGTTACTGTGGACCAGTCAATAGAGCTCTAGGGAGATCGGAAGGTCAGGGTTTTACACCACACCACGCAATGTTCCAGCTATATGGCTGCAGTCTGTAAATAATCGAGTCTGGATCAGACAATCCAGTGATCAACAGCATGAGCATCAATCTACACAATTGGGATACAATGACATGTGTCAACCAAGTTGGCAAGCCTGACCACCCGATCTTACAACAAGCATGGGTTACAGAAGATTAATTCTAACCCAGATCTTCGTGGATAGGACCGCCTCCGTGGTGTAGTGGTTAGAGCGTCCGCCTGGAGAGCGGAAGGTCGTTGGTTCGATCCCGACCACGTCATACCAAAAGACGTTAAAATATGGTACTTGTTGGTCCCTGCCTGGCGCTCGGCATTAATGGGTACAACAAGGACTGGTCGGCTCGGAGTCAGTATAATGTGTCTGAGTGGGGTATTCATGCTTCACTGCGGCATGGTATCTCAGTGGGCTAGCACTTTAAAACCAGCTTAAGTCTGGGCTAGTACAAGCAGCCGCACATACACATACACAGGCATGCACGGCGTCATATGAGCGAAATATTCTCAGGTACGACGTAAAACCCAATTTCACCTCACCTCACCTTCGTGGATAGTGTCCCTCTGAAAAGATGTAGCTGGTCTACAGTTTATCTTCATACACTGCATTCTCTGATTCTTGCTCCTGCCATCAACCACTGGGTTGCTGTTGCAAAGCAGTAATACTGCCGATTGCAGAATAGTTTAAAGCACTCATTCATATCTAGCAAGACAGTTACATTCATATTTCATCTCAAATATCTTTTATCTCAATTTATTTGTCTTTGTTTCAGATTCATTTAACTCCTGACGAGTTCAAGCAGATCTTCAAATGTAGTTACTGAAGATTTTAGTAAAAAGCCAGCATGGAAACAACAACACATTAAAAAAGGCCTACAGCTGTTCTAGACAGGATGACCTCCAAGTTTCAAATAATGCATAACACATGCTATATGTTCTCAGAACATTCATTACCTTTCACCCTTACCTGGCTGAATGGAAAACTCCTTGGTTATTTCAGGAATAGTTCATTTGAGAAAAGGAGTGTTAGATGAATTGAACGAAGTAGTATTACCATATATCTTTCATGAATTGTATTTATACAGTTATATATGCATATGGAGCAACTTTCTGTTCAGCAGATTCAAATCAACAGTGAATGAAATAATGGTGTTTATGATTGGCTGAAATAACCAATCGGGACCTATCACTGCCAGGTGCACTCTGATTGGTTGTTTATTTTTTGTAGATACAGAGGTAGAAAAGATTTGTATACTATTTACAGACTGACATTCAGTTAACAAGACCACATATTCTAATATACAGAATTCAGCTGTATCTACTTTTAGTTTTACACATCCATGTTTACTTTGTCAATATTATAATTGTGTGCAATCTACACCTAGTATTTACTGCTGAAATATATTACGAGTTGGATACAAGTTTCTGGCTAAATTCTGTCTCATGGAAACCTTCAAATAATGTTACCACTGTGTACTGTTTTGAGAGTTTCTGGGTAAGTTTTATATTTTAGCCAATGCATTTCTGTACCCATGAAATAAATTCTTTTGTAAGTATAATTTTCTCCTCCATAAGTAGATGTGGATATTGTTTATTTCTATTTACTGATATCATTCCAACCTGCTGAATTCATTCCAAATATTGCTGAATTTTATCACTTTTCACCAGTTTAAAAATATTATCAGTTCTGTGAAAGCCTGATATTTTGTTTTACCTCATTCTTGTTGTTTTGATACATAATGTTTTGTGTTGGACATTATTCAAAAATATTAAGTCCTCACTTATTAACTTGCTCACAGTTTTATATTTTGATTTGTTACCAGTTTTGCTCAATGGACACAGTGCAGAACAATCCTACGAATGTATGCAAAGTTTATGAAGAGTAATTTATTACCCTTAACGTCACAATTTCAACATTTGGTTTTCAGGCAGTGATGCTTAAACATAATGAGAAACATGGCCAGTGTAAAGTTACTTTTTGTGTAATTTTTAGTGTGAGAAGAATTTGGACATGAATCAGTACAGCTTGAAGTGAGATTCTTTTGCCTGGAAACCAAGTGTGTCATTATTTAGCTTGAGAGAACATAACCTGGTATAATCATTATCCGTTTCTAAATTTCTTATGTACATCATGATATATTTACCTAAGTTCTGGGTGATATTACTTCATTTATAAATTATTTATCTTATTTTGTCAACAACACTACAACATGGCTATTTTGGTGTCGTTCTGAGACTGCTGATCATTGCTTTTGTTTACACTGTTAAAGCATCTAATTGTTATAGGATTTTAAACAAAATAACACTCAGATTTTTGTTAGTGCAGCAATATGTACTGGGTGTTTGTGTCGTAATGTTAAGATTACAAATGACTGTTATCACCATCTAATTATTGATGTTTCACTTCATGAAGTTTCAGAGATTTTCTCTTCAAATATTTGGTTTATACATATATTTTTACACTCTTCATATGTATCTTTTTTAAATCTGTCAAGTTTTCATCAATTGGAAGTGTTGTGAGACAAGAGGCAAAATGTTTTTTCATCTGCAAATATCTTGGAAAATGTTCAACCAGGGTAGACATTGCTAAAGAATCTCACCTTCAGTTTACCCAATCATTTAAAACATGATCTTCCACTTTGGGTATTTGACACTTTTATGCTATCAGATATGTTATGATATACATGGTTGTGAAATGATGCCATCGATAGGGAATGATTTCCAGCAGGATGAATCTGGCTTGATCTGGTTTTGTGAATATTCATCATAAAACTGTCAAGTATATACATATATATCATAATATTTGTAGATGTGTATATGGAGATTATGCATAATCATTTAAGTTGATCTGTGAAAGACTAGATCTGAGGCCATGTATGGCTAGATGAGATGGCTTATGGCTAGATCTGAGGATGTGTATGGATAGATCTGAGACAGCTTCTGGCTAGATCTAAGATGGCTTATGGCTATATTTTGGGCTGTGAATGGCTGCATCCAAGGCTGAGTATGGCTAGATCAGGGCTGATTGCTAGAATGGCTGCATCAAGGCTGTGTATTGCTAGATCTGAGACACCAGATTGCTAGATCTAAGGCTTATAGCTATATATGTGTATATCTGTGGCTAGATATGATTAGAATTGCAAGAGACTTTATTGTACCATCACATTTAAAAGCTCAAGTTCTGCTATAGTTGGTGATGACACTGATAAGGATGACATTTAAAATTACAGGTGTTGCTTTGTATGGAAATGCTGTCATTATTTAGGACTAACATGTACATGCCTCTAATCCTAATTCTCACACACAAATAGATCAATTGTTTTCAATGTCATATTGTCACCAGTCCTAATATGAGACTCGATCTTATCACTTGCTGGGTCAGTGCATATTTCACCACTGTAGACTGGTGTGAAATCTGAACTGGCACTAAACTATCACCAAGAATAGGCATTTAAGAGATCTGTCCATTGTTAATGTATTTTTATTGATTACTGCCACATGTAAAACTGTCATAGAGAAATCACATCTGTTCTAAAACATACATTCAAGAATAATGAACATTACAGCCTTAATTGGGCTAGAGTGACTGTCACTGGACAGTGGTTCGAAGCTGCTCTGAAACCCAAGCAGCTTGTTGGGTTTGCCAGCAGAATATTACTTACTGACACCAGACAGTACAGTCTGTGGACTTGACATCAACTATAAGTAAACCTGTGTTTTTACAGGTTATCACTGTCAGGAGTGCCCTGACTAGACAGGTTATCACTGTCAGGAGTGCCCTGACTAGACAGGTTGTCACACTGAGGAGTGCCCTGATTAGACAGGTCATCACTGTCTGGAGTGCCCTGACTAGACAGGTCATCATTGTCTGGAGTGTCCTGACTAGACAGGTTGTCACTGTCAGGAGTGCCCTGACTAGACAGGTTATCACTGTCAGGAGTGCCCTGACTAGACAGGTTGTCACAGTGAGGAGTGCCCTGATTAGACAGGTTATCATTGTCTGGAGTGCCCTGACTAGACAGGTCATCACTGCCAGGAGTGGCCTGACTAGACAGGTTGTCACTGTCAGGAGTGCCCTGATTAGACAGGTTATCATTGTCTGGAGTGCCCTGACTAGACAGGTCATCACTGCCAGGAGTGGCCTGACTGTACAGGTTGTCACTGTCAGGAGTGCCCTGAATGTACAGGTTGTCACTGTCAGGAGTGCCCTGAATGTACAGGTTGTCACTGTCAGGAGTGCCCTGAATGTACAGGTTGTCACTGTCAGGGCTCTCATTGTGCAGGATGTCTGTCTTGAGAGACTGGCACTGCCAAGATTGCACTGAACCTCAGGACTGGCACTGTCTGTCATGCTGTGACTGTACAAGTATCACTGTCCACAGTGTCCTTACCACACAGTCGGTCACTGAACACTACTTCTAACCTCCGTACTACAAGATCTTTCTGTACTCAGTCTGTATTTAGATGCATACACACTGTAAACAGGCATGTGCTTCTTACATTATTAAAAAATACAAAGAAAGTAACCAGACTTGTTGTTTGTTACCAAGTAATCCTCACCAAGAACATGTGACAGGAAGTGAATGCAGTAATAGTGCTGCCATACTTGGTCATGGCACAACTGGCTATTCAACTATTCATCATCTCCTCACTTAAACATAGAAAGGTGTCGTATCCACAGACATCACATCTGGGGCCAGTAGTTATGGTATTATATCCCTCAGGCAGACTCTGACTATTGGATTGTTATCACATGCATGTACTCACTGGTCTTGCTGACGTGGTAGGTATACATCTCTGTTCTTCACTCAAACCTGAACCTGATATAATAATAATAATTGTGAAGTTATAATATTCCTTTTCCATGTACAATTAAGGCACCTGCTCAAAGCGCTAACACACAATCTGATTATTATTAACCCGGATAACCCAAGCTGCCTGTGAGTTGCTAGAAGGTTAATAGTCACATGACTTCTCCCACCAGGTACCCATTTTCTGCTGGGTGAACAGAGACAAGTTTGAAAAAAATCACTTGCCTAAGGTGAGACCACATGTATTACATGTGTTTCATTGTGGGGCAGGACTGAAGTCCTAGAAACTCTCAGGAGTCAAGCTGCCAAACATTGGTCACCCATCCAAGGACTCCCCGTGCCCAACGTTGTTTAACTGATTTGTCACATGAGCTCTACACACAGGACTATACACCTGTAATAGAACATTGTTGAAAACTCTCCTAAACCCAGAACACATACATGCTGAACATGCTGAACACATACATGGTGAGACCTGCTGAGAGTTTTTACGTTTGAATTGGCATACATACATGACTACAGATCATGTTCAAGACCCATGGCTGATGTTTGGGTGCTGGATGTAGTCCATTACGATACATCCATGGTAGGCTCAAGCATTATCATCATGGCCCAGCATGGCATGCAACATGCACAACTCACAAATACTGGCACGCTGTCTCTAGTAGTGTCCATTAACCCATCCATGGGTCATTTCAGGGTAAGACTTCCTTACGTACCACCCCACACCACACCCCTAATTTTCTTTACCTGATACAAGGATATACAAGTAGTGAAAAGTACCTTATAAAATAGTCGGCTCGAGTCAGTATAATGTGTCTGAAAGGAACTCTTAACTGCGGCATGGTATCTCATTTCAGTAGGAGTCAGTGCTGTCCTGTCCACAGCAGAATGATTACAGACCAAACAAGAAGCTAGTCATAGTGCCTTATACACACTCCAGTAACGTTCCGAGAGATCATGCATGATCCTATATGATTACAGACCAAACAAGAAGCTAGTCATAGTGCCTTATACACACTCCAGTAAAGTTCATGCATGATCCTATATGATTACAGACCAAACAAGAAACTAGTCATAGTGCCTTATACACACTCCAGTAAAGTTCAGAGAGATCATGCATGATCCTATAAGATTACAGACCATATAGAAAGGGATATATCTTCATGGGAAATAAAGGAGCAGAACTACTTACCATGTCTGTCACCTTGTTATTGCTCGGACCTCTAAATCATGACTAAGAAAATCCATAACCTGTAAGATTACCACCTCTAACATTACCATATCCTTTTGTAACCCCTCTTACCTGGGAGCTGATCACTTTGTGTTCATCTACAACAAAGACAAATAGCCAAGCTACAATTACATAACATCCCTTTGTAGTAAGCTTGCCACAGCTCAAACAGACAATGGAAAGTTGAGTCATTGGTAAACTAACTGAGGAACAGTCTTTATCACTGAAAAACTGAGGATCAGTCAATATTTTATCACTGACAATCTCCACACATGTAACATACCACATACAGAAAGGATGAATACAGTTTTCATGTAAGTATATTTGATATCCTCTTTATGTATATGTATGTATGTGTGTGTGGGTAAGAGTTCCGCCCATAATCCCCGCTTGAAATGTGTTCTGTTTATTATGATTATTTCGAGGTTTTAGGGTTAGGTTTAGGGTCTTAGGGTTAGGGTGTGGTTTAGATTTAGGGTAAGGGTTAATGTTAAGGTTTTTTGATAAAAAAACCCATTTGTTGTTAGGTATAGAATGATAAAATGAAATGGGGGTTACGGGCGGAAATCTTTCTTGTGTGTGTATATACATTTGTTTATCTTAATAGTGTTACACCATTTGGCATTCCAACTCACAGATGATTAAATTCTTCAAAGGCATTAGAAGTTGGTGTAGTAATACAAGACAAATCTTCTGGATTTTTTGTGTGTTCTTTTTCTTTTGACTGACACGTTTCTGGGCTAGTTCTTGCTCCTTCTTCAAGTGGATGAAAATTTATATAAAAAAAATCAAGAAGTTATTATCATAAGATTTGTCTTGCATCACAGATGATTACTCACTGGAGAATATAATGGAGTGCATTGATGAAGTTGGTTGCTAAATACTGTTCAGTGTCCTCCCCTACAGACTTCTGCTAATGATGCTTGAACCTCTGGGTCTCACAGGTGAAGAAAGCTTCCTTCTGGTGCTGTAAGTCCTTAGCAGAAATATCATTTGCATATTTTGGCAGACATTTCACTGTTATAATTTGCAACGAGGTGGAAGTCTGACAGGGTCAAATCTGGTGAATACTGAAGATATTCAAAGAGTTCAAAGCCACAACCACTGACCATGTATTTTGAAACATCATCCTTCTGCTGACATGTTTTAGTTTGTTACGGCCTGACTGTTGTTCTTTTCGTCTCTTGCCTTGATTGATGCATCGCAAAAACCTTGTCCAGAAGCTCCTCTCTGTAGATTAGCATGAATTTGTGGTTTGTCAAATTATGTGCATGAATATGTCTTCTGCTTCTATGTCAGGCCACAGGGTGCATTCCTCAGTCTTGAATGTTTATCAGTCACATCTACTTTCATGTGTAGGATTGTTTTGGGTCTATCTATTGTAGATGTTACATGTTTTCATTGTCAAATTTAATCATAAGGATTGACTGTGTATTTTTATCCCCCTGGCATGTAATGCGGGGGATACAGTCGACGCCTCGTCCGTCTGTCTGTAATCATGTTGTTTCCGGAGCATAACTCAAAATCCGTTCAGCATTTTTCAACAAAAAGTTTAGATATATCAAACAGAACCTAAAGTGGCACCTTTTGCTATTTACAGATTTTTGTGAGTTATTATTTTCTCGGTTTCCATGGAAACGATTCGGACTTAGTCTAAAAAATGAGAGATGCCCGCCTTCGTTTCTGGAGCACAACTCGAAAACCAAACGAAATTTTTCAGCAAAAATTGGTTGTTATATCAAACAAAACCTAAAGTTTTTGTCTTGGTTTCCATGGAAACGAGTTTAACTTAGTCTCAAAAGGGAGGGGTGGTCTTCGTCGTTTCCGGAGTGCAATTTTGAAAACTTCTTAATATCTTTCAGCAAAACTTGCCAGATATATGAGACAGATCTTGAAGTTGTGCCTTTTGCTATTTGCAGATTTTTGTCATTTTTATTTTTCTTGGTTTCCATGGAAACGAGCTAAACTTTATCTCAAAAGGGAGGGGTGAGCTTCGTTCCCGAAGCACAACTCGAAAACCGATCAATACCTTTAATCAAGACTTGATAGATATATCAGACATAAGCTAAAGTGGTGCCCTTTGCTATTTACATATTTTTGGCATTTTTATTTTTCTTGGTTTCCATGGAAACGATTCGGACTTAGTCTCAAAAGGGAAGGGTGGGCTTCGTTACCGGAGCACATCTCGAAAACCGTTCAATATCTTTCAGCAACACTTGGCAGATATATCAAACACAACCTAAAGTGGTGCCTTTTGCTATTTGCAGATTTTGTTCATTTTTATTTTTCTTGGTTTCCATGGAAACGATTCGGACTTAGTCTCAAAAGGGAGGGGTGGGTTTTGTTCCGGATCACAACTCGAAAACTGTTCAATATCTTTCTACAAGACTTGACAGATATATCAAACAGATCTTGAAGTATTGCCTTTTGCTATTTGCAGATTTTTGGCATTTTTATTTTTCATAATTTCCATGGAAACAATTTGGACTTAGTCAAAAAAATCAAGTTGGACTTTAAGTAACTGTCAGTTGATTTGTTCTTTCAAATTTATGGGGGCCGGGGATTTGTCATCTTCTGATGACTCTTGTTATTTCATCACCAACTGCTGGCATCTGAAAGTCTTCTTGATCTTGGATGATCTGGAACCCTCTCACCTGCCTTCTTCACAGTATGAAAAGAAGCACCCTCCCTATATTAGAAACTACGTCTGAATGGAGATGTTGGAGGTAGCCCTTTCAGCTGCAGATACTTGATCACAGTGCAGTAACCAATTTTGTCTATTATCATCAAGAATACCCAGTCACTTTGATGCATGCCGAAATATGTTGCCCGATTGAATTTTCATTCTGCTCATTGTAATTCCTGCATTCTGATTAGGTGCACTGGTCACATGTTATAGCATTCATTTCCCAGTGAATGTAAAGATTAAGCCACAACCACCAACATGCACTACTTTCACCACTACATACTGGTTCACATTAATAGGGTTCAAATGCAACCTGTAAACATGAAAAGTCTTGTATTGTAAATACAAACTGCTAAGTATGTGCTATACACCATTCACAGATCATCAGAACTTCTCAGGCACTCCATGTAATATTTATTCAGGTAGCTGATTCAGTTTGCCACTTTGAGTGTTATTTCATGCAATAGTACCAAGACAGAACACAGTGACAAAATGGTCCTTGTTTATTCCTCCTCCAATCTACACACCAAGCTGGACGGATCATGGCTGTAAATGTAACAGGAACGAATACTGTTCTGTACAGGAATACTAGCAGGAACGTATCACAGACTTCAATATATTAGTACTGTACAACACAACTGGGAATTGGAAAGAAAACAGACTGACTCAATATCAACATGAATACAGTCAAAGGTATGACGTTTATCACATACATTTTGTAAAGTATATCTACACACAATTCAGTCTTACTTCTTTAAAATAAAATGTCAGTTTCCATGATCAGTTTTAAGCATAAGTTTACATTCTCTGAGAAATGTTTGTTCAGATTTAAGAAATTCTTCTTTTAACAGCTCATTTATACAGTTTTTTAAAAGACAATGATTTCAGTTCAGTATTACATGATAATCTATTATCTTTTAGCCAGTTCTTGATAAATGTTGCAAATGTAAAAAGATTCACAAAAAAATATGGAAATATATGGAAACTAAGGATTAACGTCACGACAACCTGACAACACACCAGCCTATTCTTGAAAACAATTATAACGTAATGGTAACATACTTTATCCAAATCCAAAATGAATCAATCATCAGTCATACATTTTAACAGAAAATACAAGAATAGCTTTAAGGAATATTCATTTCCACAACTGATCATACTCGGTAACTAGTTTGGTTCCATAGGAAAATGGTTATATACAATATTATTACACAAAAATATATATACAGGCTCAATTTCAAGTCTATAATCACAGTCAAGATAACTTCCAATCCAGAAGCTTCAATCAATTCTGTTGTGTTTCTCCACTTGTACAGAGTACTGAAATCTATTGGGTTGACAGTGCTTCATAACTGTGAATGTTCAGAGTCGGCCAGTCCGACTGCCGACGGAGGATGGACGTTTAGGAAGAGCGATGAACCGTGGACGCGCTGTGATGTTGTACTCTTCAGATAGGGCTTCCGTCATGATGTTCAAGAGGGTGTTCTCCAGCACAGATTCCAAGGAGTTGCCAAACTCAGATGTTCTGGAAAAGGGACAGCAATCAATACAGTGTCTCAGAATGAATTCATGGAACAAACATATTTTTGGAGGAGAAAAGCGTTTTATGCCACAGACAGTGTTATTCCAACTGGTCAGGATATAATTTTAGGCTTTTTTAAGGACTTTAAAGTCTTGCAAACCTTGCAGGTGACATCTCTTTAAAAGAGAATGCATGCATCTGTTCAACATTAGTGTTCAGAGTAAACTTATCTATTTATGTAGGTGATGGACCAAGATTCTGTATGTGGTATTTGACCTACTTCTTGATAGCCTGTTTCTGGTGTGTTTGCTTCTCAAGTTCGATGGCACGTCTGGAGTCGGTGCGGGACGGATGCTGTGATGGAGCTGCTGATCGAACCAAGGACTGTACACTTCCAGCTGTTACAGAACCCTGGACAACACAAATATGAAACCATGGAAAACATGACAACATGCACACAGAACCCTTGACAGTATGTCAATATGTCAACATACATACAGAACCCCTGGCAATATGACACGAAACATACAGAACCCTTGACAACATGACAACATGCACACAGAATCCTGGCAACATGACAACCTATATATGAACACTGACCCACACAACTGAGATGCAGGGTCACAACTGCCAGGACCTGTTTCATAGAGCAATCTTTGCATTTTGATGACTATAACTGCTCTACTGTCTTGAATAGTGCCAAGGTCACACATGGTGATCACTCTATCCGTACTTTAGTCATCTCACACAACTAGCACAGGACACTCCAATCCCATATGTCTCAGTCTTTAATCTTTGTCCAATGGTACTCTCAGCAATATCCCATTAACATAAAGATATCCTGTAAATAATGGTGAAGACCTGACAATCCAGTGATTGATATTGTGAGTTACTATATGATGGGTAGATTTCGCCCTTCTGATTGGCCTACTTGGTCACATAACAGCTTTGACGCTAAGCAATGTCAACCTTGGCACGTCGCGAGAGGTTGATATAACAATCCATGCACCTCCCGTGGCTAAAAATAAATTTATACAAACCTGTAGAGGTTATGAATTCTTTGAAGAAAGTCCTCCTTGGGGTACATATAAGCATTAAAATGTCCATTTTAAATCCTACGACAGTTGTAACTATATTTTTAATAAAATATTTACAAAACAAAAACTCGCTTTGTCTTGTGAGACCACTCCCTACAGGGCCCCACCGACCAACACAGCCAAGAGCAGGTAACTCTCGCCGCCTCACCTCGTGACTTCACTTTTCATGCTGAACATGTCAGACAGAATGAGGGAGGCGGTTGGCCGTACTTCAAGGAGGACTTTCTTCAAAGAATTCATAACCTCTACAGGTTTGTATAATTTTTCAGAAGAAGTCCTCCTTGGGGTACATATAAGCATATGACAGACTCCCAAAGATATTTGAGACGGAGTGGCATTCTGTCTGGCAACAACTAAACCCGTGGTGGAGGAAATCTACAACCGATAACGGAAATAGAAAACACGGAGCCACCTGACCGCTGATGTCAATCAGACGGGGCGGAACCAGAGAGCCCAAGCTTATATGTCAATTGGCTCAATATCAATGACATAACCCCCAACCATTACAATGGAAGGAATGTATGGGGACATGTCGAAACAACTCCCAACCCAAATATAGCCCCAGCCAGACAATCGTGGCGAGAGGTATAGGGTAGGGAAAGCGAAAAAATTAAACGCTACAAAGCCAATAACCCAGGAGTCGAGCTAATAAGTACTGCAAACTAATGTTCGAATGCAGCCCCTGTTTGGAAGAGGGCTAGCCGACCTCGATAAAACCCAGAGAAATTATTAGCCTCGCTAAAACTTTCTGAGGAAATCGAACGAAAGTACAAACGCCATGCATTGTAATGAAGTGAAAACACCCCCACCAAACACTCTCGGCGCGAGGAGGGTAAGTGTAGGCCACCATCCCACAAAGCTGATTAACACAGACTCCCAAATACCGGCAAGGCCTGGAAGAGGGAAAACTGTAAGCCGCATTAAAAATCCCCTGAATAGCTTAAAAGCCGTGAATCCGAACATATGTTGGCTCACCATTACACTAACTCCAGTCACGCGGACATGCGGCTCAAGAGAGGCATACCAAACAGTGCCCCGGGGTTCGCAGACTCCAATCCGCCGAAGACGGTTAATAGCATATGACTGGTTAAAGCTGCTCAAACGGACCTCGCCACTCTCAAGGGGACGAAGGGACGATGTACACCCAAACCCTAATCCAACCCAAAGGATGGTAAGGTTAATAATGATGTAGTGATATGGAAATATATCGACATTGAACACAGAACCGATACCAATGACCAGTTACTAACTTGGTCAGGGTGGCAGGTCACTCTCCACTGGAGAGAACCGAAGACCCGAACCGAGCACTCCATCCTTAGAATGCGGTCAAGTTGGTAATGGCGACGAAGGCGCTCTGCTGGCTCCAAAGAGCTTACAGAACCGATCTTTCATTGAGCAGTGCCGCTGTGTATTGTCAACAAAGCCGCATCTGCCCTACCCAGTCTGCCTTCAACCCCCTCGGGGAGGTAAACCGTATCATTGTAACCATACAATTACGGAAACAAGCCAACGAGATAAAGTGCGCGCTGTTAGCAGACTCCCCAGTCTTTCCCGCCACCAAACAGCACACATGGGTACCCGCATCGATCCCTTTGTTCGCTCGTTTCGTGACAGGCACCGGTGAGCAATCGAAAGATTGGTCCCCAGTGCGGAAGGCTTGGTAGTAGTGGAAGTGCGATATATGAGCAGTCAACGGAAAGCAATATCGCGACTGAGAGTGGTAGGTATCCGGGAGTCGAATACGGACATGATCAGTATAAAATACGTTTGTCAGTGTCGGGTCAGTGGGAATCGTGATGGATGCATACCGACCTCTTCTACCAGAGTTCACCACAACAGTAAAGTCGCCTTCCACGCCAACAAGTGAAGTGAGAGAGACGATATACTTGAAAAATTAGGGCCAGACAGCCATTTGTGAATAAGTGGCAATTTTAAGGTGGGCTAATGCCGACGTAGCGGTCGAACCCTGTTCATGCCAGCTACTTATCGCTGATGTACGGCGAGGATGCTGCCTAGGCAGAGCACCATCGAACGAGGTGTGAAACGTGGAAATAGCCATGGAGTACCCGCAATGGTGGAGGTCATAAGACTCTCAACCAAAACGAGGTTATAGTAACTCCAATATCCGGAACTAAGTCCGCAGAATAGGGATTATGAAATCCCCTTTCTGCACACCAGCCGCCTTCCACCTATCAACACACTGAACGGGTGTCGAATCCCAGGCAGAATTGTGTTCTGCAACGTTGCAGGAATTCGCGTGTGTTATACCCGACAGAGGCCAAGCCACCCAGTGAATCCTAGGATTCGGTGTGGCACGTCGCAGAGTGAGAATGTCTGGTCGAAGAGGTATTCGAATCCGGGCGCTATGGATCGAACACCAACCTGACTGCTGTCAAACCCAGCACATTGATGTGCAGGTTGTGACTTCGTCTCAAGAGGCTGCAGGTCACCCAGAACATCGCCTTAACCCGGTAGGGATGTATCTGGCTGGACTGAGAGCGACGGTGTCTCCAGGGTGGGGACCCTCGAGAGACGCCTGACGTCTGTCCATCTGACTGCGTGAGGTTGACAATTCGCCCAGCTTCAGAACTGATCGTGAGGTCCAGAGACTCAACAGTTATCTGAAACCACGATGAGTCAGTCAGCCTATGCACGGGTGACACACACCGGCACTGCGATCTGGCTATCTGAGCTGTAATAAACCTCAATTTGGTGAACACCCTTGGCACCGTAATGTAGCCTAAGGAGAGCACACGTAAACTGGTAGCACGCCCCGTCAAACAAGAAACCCGAAGGTAAATCTTGAAATCAGGGTGCAATGGAACAAGGAGGTATCGCGACTGAGGTCGATTGACGCATCGCCAATCCCCTGTCTCGCAGATGAGATCACCGGCCGTGTCTCCATCTTGAAGGACAGTACCCTCTATAAACTTGTTCAGCTCTCAGATGAGAATGGGTCTGAACATTCCGTTCGAATGGCAACTATGAAATAAGTGGAGTCAAACCCCACATATTCCTGACCATTGAAACCACCGACACTGGTTGCCTACCCCAGCAAAGACTGGACCGGCACGAGTATTGTCGCCGCCTTCCCGGGAAGCCGACACAGGAGTGTGTCGCTCCGCCGGTGTTTGCGGCAGAATATAGTAACCCAGCAGTCGGCAACTTTACGCTTGCCGATGCCTGGGCACCTGAGGAAGTAAGCGCGAAGCTCAACAGACTTCCTCGTAGATTCCTCGAACTGTCCCGGCTTATATGCCCATAACCGTCCTCATCATTTGACTGGCACAGCTACAATGCAGTCCCTAGCCAGATGAGAGGTTGCCCCCGTCAGATACCGCCCAGAGTCGCCGGTTTTAAAAATTCCACCGGGCGCTCTCCCTTTCCACCAGCTCCCTCAGCAGCTGAGAGATGCCGAAGTGGAGCATACAGCGCTGAGCTGTGAAGGGGAAACAACGCAGACTGGACGGTAGAGTGTGAGGCCTTGTCCCGGATGCCGCTGGAAGCAGGCTTCCCTCGGAGGCGAACTCCAACGGTTCGGGTAGTCGACATGGACAACACCTGAGGCAACACAGCCGCGATTCTATCTCGCACTTGCCCTCAGGGACCGAACCCCGATCCCGAGACACGTAGGAGTAGCCTGATAAATCAGGGTTTCCCAAGTACTTCCAAAGCGCTGGGACTGCGTATAGTCAAACATAGCCTATAGCGCTTATATAAATACCCATACATACACATGTATGTATCGCCAGTGCTTCGGGTCGGCGGTTCGAAGTTCGAACCCCGATCCCCAACACATGGGAGTGGCCTGACAATGCAGGGCTCCCCTGGTGGGTGCTGCGGGTAGACCGGCGGCGCCGAGGTGATCGGCAGCTTCGTCACTCAACGGCCGCTTGGCCAGGGCATCGAGCAGACATCAGGCCGAGACCTGAGCTAACAGCCGGGGATCTGTTCGATATCGGGTCGAAGCCCAGGTCGGTGCTAGTCCGATCTGCAGTCCCGGACACAAGGGAGTAGCCTGGCAATGCAGGTTGCCCCTGGTGGACACAGGTAGACCTAGAGCGCCGAGGTGATCGGCAGCTCAGTGGAACCCAGACCGGGCGCCAGAGGAACCTGCCGATATACAGGTTTCCCGGCAACCCCGACTGACCACGTATGCCGGCCAGGTGTTCCCCGAGCTGGTCGGCCTCTTAGGCGCACCGCCAGTCAGGGCACCAGGGCAAAACCTGCAGGGCGAAACCTGCATCGCGGCGCCAGGCCGTGGACGAACCTGAGCCCGGCTAGGTCATACAAAGGTGCGGCGCCGAGGTGTCCCCGAACTGGTTCTGCGCTCTTTAGGCGAATCGCGCCAGTCAGGGCACCAGGCTAAGACAGGGCAAAACCTGCATCGCCGGGCGCCAGGCGCCGTGACGCAACCTGAGCCCGCAAGCTAGGTCGCCACAAGGTGCCGAAGGCACACCCATCACCTGAGCCGAAGCCAGGATCAAGCTGCCTGGGAGGAAGCATTCTCCGAGCCAGAGCTCGGCCGCAGCCAACCCCCAGATGCGTCCGATCCACACTCCTCGACGACAGGCGTGCTGAGCTCCTTGCGAACCCAGACAGCACCGTGTCAATCGGGCGGGAATTTCACCACAGACGACACCTGGTGAACTTACCTTCGAGATCAACACTTTATGAGCTGAGCTCCTTACGGAGCCCGGACATCGCCGCTATCAATCATCGAATTGACATTATGTTGAAGAATATGTTGCTGCAATAGTGAAGCAAATTGAGTCATATTTAAGTCAGCAACATTGTTTATGGGGAAACGATAAAGGGATTTCCTTAGAAACCTTTTATCAAATATTATCCCCGCCTGAAGCAGATTAGTGAAAAACATAACATCTGCGTTGTCGGAAAGAATGCGCCGCGGAGGCGAGAAACCCAGACAAAACACAACCTCGGCCTATGAGCCACCGCTGTGTGTAAACGCATGAAATATGTATCATAATACAAACATAATGTAACAGGAATATTGACGCGCAGCGGCGTTTATTATGAGCATCCTTGATCGCCGTGGAGCGCCCTCGGCTAAACACCGGAGGCACACTTTATAACCATCCTGTGGCGGTAGTGCATGGCACAACGCGACAGGGCTTAAACTGCAACAAACAGAACCACGCCAGTGTTACTAGCAGGAACTGTGAAGCAGCAAACACATAAACACAAGTAATAGCAAGAATAATCCGCACGGGCGATATATAAATGCTACAAGCTACAGCCATTTAAATACTAAAACATACAATGCAAAGCAGAAAAGGCTAGCCACCCCCTGCGGTGTACTAGTGATAGAGTAAAGTTGAGTGATACTGAAACTAACACTATCAAAATTACTCAACAAACGACTTTACCACAAATTCGCTGAAAAGAAAGAGAATTTAGGCAAGCCTACCATATAATATGCAAACATAATATATGAACTCCCTACTACAAGCTACCAAGAACATATAGCAAGGAAACCACGATCGTGGCGGTCCGCCATTTTGCCTGCCACATGGCTGGAAAAACAGAGAACCCACGCAAAGTTACAACAAAAGATGAATGAAAATATCCACATATGTCCATCCAACTAACCGCGGCCGTGAGAAAGGAACCATACATACAGATTGAGACTCTTTTACACTCATCGTGACGGGTAGGAGAGCAAACTCGAAACGAACACCACGCACGTCTATTCAACAGAACGACAGCATGAAAAGTGAGGTACGAGGTAGACGGCGAGAGTTACCTGCTCTTGGCTGTGTTGGTCCGGTGGGGCCCTGTAGGGGTGGTCTCACAAGACAAAACGAGTTTTTTGTTTTGTAAATATTTTATTAAAAATATAGTTACAACTGTCGTAGGATTTAAAATGGACATTTTAATGCTTATATGTACCCCAAGGAGGACTTCTTCTGAAAAAGAATTGAGATATTCCAGCTGTGAACTCCACACTGCGTGAGCGTGCGTGCGCATGCGTGCGTCACGCTAGATAAGGAAGCGATAGGCATCACTTCGTCCCTGTGACTGTGTTGGTTTAGAGTTACGTCCCATCTGTGTATCAATGGCAGACGACACGAGATCACGAAGAACAGGCATTCAGTACTTTTGTCATATAATAAAACAATTATTGACTTCAGTTCGGTTGATTCACCTCGGTGAATATCACATGTTCAAGGTCAATAACTTATTGGATCAACCGAACTAGAAGTCAATAATTGTATAATGTCACCAACAATCACAGAGCGAATATCTCAGTGTCACTGACCTTCTGGCTGTGTAGGCTGACTGACGACATCCTACTGTCTACACTGTTGGGGGTCCTCGCAACATCCTCCACCGATGCCAGTGATGCCCTGCTCCCACCTTCTCGGCTGGTGGTCTCCCTGGCAGGTGTACCCCCGACTGAACTGTGTCTGGACCCTACTTGTCTCTCAGATTCTTTAGCAGAAAGTGGCACCGTCTTTGGCCGCTGACCAAATTGTCTGAAGTAGGGGATCTCTTCCTTGGACACTGTCTTGACAGCTTCTTGGAAATATGCATCGTCCAACAGGCCCCTGGTAACAGTGGACAACATCATCACTAACACATATAAAAAGAATTACAGCATACATTATATTGGGAAAACAAAAGTGATAATTGGCCTGATAGTCAGCGTGACGAGCCGACGCTTTAACCATTAGGCTACCCCACCCGACTATGGTGAATGAACGGAGGGGTTCAAAGTTGTAGTGTGCAACATTGTTATCAGCCTGAAGGGTTATACAGTCTGGACCAGACAAACAAGTGTTCAAAGTGTGATACAAAATCCCCATTGTCTGGGTACAGTGGTAAATATTCATGTATATATCCCATCACTGAAACAGGACCACTATGACCTAGCTCTATGAAACAAATGATTGTTTAAGAGACATGGTGACTGCTGGTTCAATCAAATGTCAAAAGCACTATGACTTTGAAGTCAATTATACTTCAAAATACATCACGCGCACACAAATACACTTTACAGTTTTGAACACAGCAGGAAATTATCTGTTTTGTAATATTTCTCAGTATTCAGTATATCCATGTACTATTGTTCTTTTTGGGGATGTTTCCTGCTCTGGAATTCCAACTGAGGTACATATTTCTCAATGCCTGATAGACAACATAGTTGTACACCTTAGTCTGAGCAGTCAACAACCAGCAACTCCAGAACAACATAATCCAGTGATGTCCTAGAAGCACATTGCCATCATGGCCCTATTGGACAACAGTCATAGCACTGAGTGATCGTACGGCTCGTAACTTTGACATAGATGTAAGACAGTCACACCACTACCATCACTCTATGGAACAAGGAATATGATTACAAAGGGTTACCTGAGGACATTGCTGAGGACGCCTGAGATGATGTTGGCCTCAGCCTGGTTGCACTGGATGGTGTTTGTGACGAAGGCCATCTCCTCTTTCTTCTCTGCAGCCTTGCCCAGCTTCTCACTCAGAGACCTGGGGATGAAGTATAACTGCTGTCAGCATGCTGCTCATTAGTTACTGAAGTTTGTGTAACATTGCAGTCAGCTCAGAGTTACTATGTAGGTATTTGTTTAACGGCCAACTCAAAATACTTCAGCTGATGCCCTGTTAGATTTCACATCTTAGCAGACAACCCTGTGATTGATATTATGAGAAACAATCCACATCCTTTGCATGGAACCCCGCACCATCAAACAAATCACACAGCCAGATCACCTGATTCATAAAATCACATCCCGTGAAGGTCCATGTTGGAATTGTTCTTCAGCAACCCAAGCTTGCCATAAGAGGTGACTAATGGGATCAGGTGGTCAGATTCGCTGACTTGGTTGACACATCATATCCATAGATCAATGCTCATGCTGTTGATCACTGGATTGTTTGGTCCAGACTTTAATATTACAGACCACCACCATATAGCTGGAATATTGCGGAGTGGGGCGTTAAACAACAAACGGATGTTTTCTAACCTGTCTATGTAGAACTTCCTGTAATGATCGGGGAAGTTCTCCTGGAACTCTCGCACGTCGTGTGTGCGTGCTGTCAGGCCCAGGTGGAGCAGGAAGGGGCGGGGTGGTACTGGTTTCTCCCACAATTCCTTCTCCTTCCTCTTCCTCCGTCTTTCTTCAGCCTTCACCTCATCAGAAGACTTCTGCTTGATGGGAGGTAGTGTCTACAATACACACACTCAGTCAGTAAAGTAAAGGTGCTTTTATCATGATATAATCATTGTCAGTATGTGCTACTCTATACAGAGAGTCATTGTAGTGGAAAGCTACCCTTTGATGGGCTGATGCAGTCATTACAGCAGTAAGCTGTCATACACTATGTAGGTACAAACAGGCTTTATAGCCAAAATGGATAGAATTATCATTCAAACGCCCACATGTTATCAGAAATGAGCGGGCCACTGTAACTTGATAATGCCCCCAAACTGCTTGACGATGAGCCATTATCATGCCCATTGGTAGGTGATGTCATAAGGAGCTCAGCTCTTGATTTTCAATCACCTACGGCTCGTTTGAACTTGGGTTCAATATTGACGATATTTCTGACTCACATTCGTCACATGTACCTGTGCCATTATACACTTTCTTACCGGTGCCAACCTTAACAATTGTACCATAAATTACAACATGCAGCAATGAAAACATTGACTGGAACTGTAACGTTGTTGAGCATTGATGAAACATGGCGGCCGGTAGTATGGGCAAAGGTCAAGGTCGAATGTCGTCACTTACAATAGCGACGTCATCTTTTGTTCTATGACGTTTCCATATTTGTAAAAAGTGTGTCAGTGACCTCCCTCGTTTTTTTCAGGGCATTATCATTTGCAGAAGCCCGAGGTCTTTTCAGACCTCGACTTCTGCAAATGATAATGCCCTGAAAAATAGCATTACCCTTATACTAAACAGAGTAGTGGTCCAATGAACTAGAGAGCCAAGTAGACCTCCAGTCTATAGGTAGACAAAGTCATTACATTATAGGCCCTATATTTCTCCCATTATGAATCCCATTCTTCTAGATCTCATATTTGTCTATAGTCTAGGACTGGCCATTGATACAGACCATAGATATCAATAACCATTAACCGATTGATTATTGATACATTTTCGGAGACGTAACTTTGAACAATAATGCAAAAAATGTCAGAAACTAGTGAAAGAAATGAATATATTTCCCATCACTGGTGAGTGGTGACATGTTTTTGCATGGGTTATTAACAAAACAGTGTGCTGCCTCTAACTAATGAAGTCATGACCAGACAACTGACTGAGTTTAGTTTTACGCCGCTTTTAGCAATATTCCAGCAATATCACGGCAGGGGACACCAGAAATGGGCTTCACACATTGTGCCCATGTGGGGAATCGAACCCGGGTCTTCGGCGTGACAAGCCAACGCTTGAACCACTAGGCTACCCCGCCGCCCCCATGACCACACAAGCAGCCATGGAGAAGTATGAGTACATATATAGATAGCGGGTACTGACCCTGTATCTGGTCAATTCACCGTCCGGGCTGGGTGTTGACCGGTAGTCGTCCAGAGATGCGAGGCGGGATGAAGGACGCTCCTGTCACAGATACAGCATGTGCTCATCATCAAACTTTACTCTGAATATATTCATTTGTATTTAGCCAGTTATCAACATGATTCTATGGAGGTAAAACCCAGTCTTATATATATTTTTTTTTCTTTTTTTTTCGGATTTACAACAAAACGTTGTTCAAAATATTCAAACTATAACTAAATAAGATACATCATTACTTTTAGATCTTTCAAATTACCTACCACCACTTCCACATCATCAGTCAGTCTGAGGTCAGCATTGAGGTCATTCTCTGTGATGACAAACTCTTGTCTCTGACGCTCCTTCTCCGCCTCCCAGTCAGACAGACTCTTCCTGTACTCTCCCATCTCATACTCATCTGTCACCTGTAACAGCAACAGCATGTGGTATAACTACATCATCACCTACTTCCTCCTCCTCATCATCACCCTCATCGATGTCGTCATTGTCACCACCACCTTCCTCCTCCTCATCATCACCCTCATCGATGTCGTCATTGTCACCACCACCTTCCTCCTCCTCATCATCACCCTCATCGTTGTCGTCATTGTCACCACCACCTTCCTCCTCCTCATCATCATCACCATCATTGTCACATTGTCACCAGCACCTTCCTCCTCCTCATCATCACCATCATCAATGTCGTCATTGTCACCACCACCTTCCTCCTCCTCATCATCACCCTCATCGATGTCGTCATTGTCACCACCACCTTCCTCCTCCTCCTCATCATCACCCTCATCGATGTCGTCATTGTCACCACCACCTTCCTCCTCCTCCTCATCACCCTCATCGATGTCGTCATTGTCACCACCACCTTCCTCCTCCTCCTCATCATCACCATCATCAATGTCGTCATTGTCATCACCACCTTCCTCCTCCTCATCATCACCCTCATCGATGTCGTCATTGTCACCACCACCTTCCTCCTCCTCCTCATCACCCTCATTGATGTCGTCATTGTCACCACCATCTTCCTCCTCCTCATCATCACCCTCATCGATGTCGTCATTGTCACCACCACCTTCCTCCTCCTCATCATCACCCTCATTGATGTCGTCATTGTCACCACCACCTTCCTCCTCCTCATCATCATCACCCTCATTGATGTCGTCATTGATCACCACCACCTTTCCTCCTCATCATCATCACCCTCATTGATGTCATCATCATCACCACCACCTTCCTCCTCATCATCATCATCATCATCATCATCATCATCATCATCATCATCATCATCATCATCATCAATGTATACCTCATCCAGCCTCTAACAAAATCAAACCAGATTCCCATCCCTGGAACATTAAAAATTATGGCTTGAAACTAAATACTCACATTAGTAGACTGTTCTTAAAGAAGGAAAGGAGTATATAAGCATATATTCCAGACATAAGTCAGAGGGTCAGTTTTAACACCAACATGAATTGTTCAAGTCATATTTCAACATATTTTCACACACATCCATGATATAAGCTATTAGGAAAGCCTTACCTCACACACAAGATCAAGGTCATAGAATGATGGCACCCCAGCAGCAAGGAAGGTAACTCTGCACATCCCAGTACCCCCAGGTTCCAGTTGACCCCTGACCGGTGAGATGGACAGACACTGGACAAACACAGGAATCTTGTAGTAGCATCATTAACAACATGGACACAGCATCCCTTCAAGTTATCAATTCAGCTAGGACAACAAGATGACAATATAAGAACAACAATAATTCAGATAAAACCTATCAATTACATGCTATTCAAATATATCTAGGTGAACATATCTTCTTCTAAATATAGTATTCAGAAACTAATCCACAGTTTTGTAGTATATTAAATTGTCAGACTTCGGGCAAGTCACTTTCATCAGAAACCCTACCTTGCTGTCGGCTTGAGATGTGACATGCCATTCGAAGGACACTGGTCGTTGTTGGGATTTGTTGATGACAAACACCATCTGCCTGGCCAGACTGAAGAGAGGCATGTTGCTGAAGGAGACACGCTCTCGGGACAGGTACACAAGCTGGAACATCAGCAAATCACTTACACTCTTACCAGCATCACAAACTGATACCATGATCCTAAATGATGTTAAATAATGAAACAAAGAGGTCCTTGCATCATGAATATCATCTTTAGTTTCAACATAGACATGCATTAGTAGCACTCTTTGTAAACCCAGCCCCAGCTTAATTTTTATTAAGAACTAAACCAAACTGAAACAATAGCTACTTCGTTTGAGTTATTTGCATTGATAAACTATCACAAAGTCAGCAGAAATATTGTTTGGTTTAGAATATATACTTCAGCAAAGATGCTTGTTGATTTTACTTTTGGAATCAAAAGATTAGAGTAATTTCTACATCACAAAAAACTCCTGGGCCTATCCTTTCGAAGCCCTCTTTCGCTAAGATAGTCGTATGTTAAAGTATGACACTTACAACTATCTTAGCACTAAGAGAGCTTTGAAAATCTAGGCCCTGCTATCTAAAAAGCCACAAGTAATATCCACAATAGAATGACAGTACAAAGGGAAGAACCAATCACATCCTTGCATATAAACAGGATCCATTCTATTACAACATCATCACTTTTATTCTAACATGATAGAGGTGTTCTGTGGTTATTGTACCTGTCCAGGTATCGCCACACTCTGCACGCTGGGTACGCCAGTAAGGTCATGCTGGTCTGTGATGGGCATGGTGTCTCCCATCACCCGCTTGTCAAACCCTACCCCGGTGAAGGTGATGATGGCTGTGTCACCTTGATGGACATGGACTGGCACGTCGATCTACAACATACAACACGTACTGATACATTCATCTCCAGCGTCAATCATCATTCCTTTTAACCAACTTGTAATTGCAATCACCTTAACTTGGATTTTTTTTCCCTCAATTTTATCCATTTGCTTTATACAAATTCCACTACAGATACAGATACAAATTCCACATTTCAATTAAAGCAAAGTTAATACATTTTGTAGCTAACATGATATAAATGATCTGTTATTCTTTGCCTTTTGGTAAACAAAATAATCTACTGACACTTTTCTTTGATAGTTCTTTCACTTTGCACTACAATCAGTAGCTTAGTGATCTCACCATGTACGTCTTGGCCTCCAAGGGAGAGAACCTCCACTCCAGTGCCACGGACCGTCCTGGCGGGATCTCACCAATAGGGTTCAGACACTCAAAGATTGGCTGGTCAAAGTTCTCCTACAACAGATCATGTTTAGTATGACAATGAACTCTCTCAAAAGTTCAACAATTCAACATATGGCACTTATTCCAGAATAACAAAACTGCTTTAAAGACACACATGAGCGATATTAAAAGGTATCTAAGCTCCACTCACCTGTCTGATGAGTTCCAGCGGTGTGAGGTCGAACTCGTACCTGACTGGCACAGCTCCCCCATTGTACAGCTCATACACCTGGAAACAGACAGCAGCAATCACTGACTTACACTTTCTATACAATGTTAGAAACCTTTCACAATTTCCCACTAGACCACAGGACCAGTGAGAGAACAATAATTAGTGGTCCTGTCTATACTTCACTGGTCCAACATAACAATCAATACTATTACATTCATATGAACTTTTAACATCTTTTATCATTTTGTTTTAAATTCACTAGCCACCAGGACCACTGCAAACTTATCATAGTGGTCCTGATGAATTTTTACTAGTCAGGGACCACAGGACCACCGTACATTTTGCATACTGTCTACTTGAACCATCTGGCTAGACAAGTATATAGTCAGTCAGTTATACATAACATGAGTCGGTTTAATTTCAATGCTTGTTGTCAAAGGCACACGCATACCTGTTTGGGGCTGTTCTGCTCTCCTACAGGGACAGGAGTGAATAGGTGCTTGTTGGAGGGGAAGTGGATGTAATGCCTCTCCGGCTCCACGGTCACTCCAATGAAGTTCAGCTGCAATCACAAACAGTCATCTTACAACATGGCCACATGGTTAGCGGAGGATCAATAACAATCATTGCATGTCTCCATCTGGGTCATTACCCAATTAGGTGTTCCCGCAAAATTTAGCAATATAGGGATCACTATACCAAGGGAAAGACAGTAGCCCTGAAACATTTCTATGAAGAATAAGAAGTTGTTATTTATAAACGAGTTTCACATATTCATGTTCTTCCAGCTTGTAGATGCCTTCAAACGACTTCAAGGGTCAGAACTGACTCACCAGTATTTCCCTGCCCTTTGAGAGTTTGAGCAGTACAGGCAGACGGTCAGTTCCAGCCATGGTGTGGTTGTAGGTGAAGGTCACTGTCTGAGTATCTCCTGGTGCCATCCTACCCCGCTTTGGTTCGATACTGAACAGCTTGTTGTCCATCACCTTCATCTGGAAGTATTTTAGCATCCCCGAAGTTTCAATGAAACGTGTCACCATGTTGAAGAAGACTACAGCAAATCCACAGCTTTCACAGATGACTTAGCCTACTCTATCATTATAACTGATACCATGGACAGCTAGTGGTAATCACTGAAAGGGCTGTGTTTCACAGTATGTGACCTGTGAGTATGTGAAGCCTAGAGTGACCTGTGGGTGTGTGAAGCCTAGAGTGACCTGTGAGTATATGAAGCCTACAGTGACATATGGGTATGTGAAGCCTAGAGTGACATGTGTGTACATTGACATGTGGGTATGTGAAGCCTAGAGTGACATGTGTATGTGAAGCCTAGAGTGACATGTGTGTGTGTGTGTGTCCATCACCTTCATCTGGAAGTGAAGCCATTATAGTGACATGTGGGTACGTATACCATGGACAGCAGTGACATGTGGGGTAATCACTGAAAGGGACATGTAGCCAGTGACAGCCTACAGTGTGACATGTGTGTGCCTGAGTGACATGTGTATGTGAAGCCTACAGTGACATATGGGTATGTGAAGTGTGACATGTGAGTATGTGAAGCCTAGGAGTGACATGTGTGTGTGTGTGACATGTGTGTGTGTGTGAAGCCTACAGTGACATGTGTGATGTGTGTGTGTGTGTGATGTGAAGCCTACAGTGACATGTGGGTATGTGAAGCCTACAGTGACATGTGGGTATGTGAAGCCTAGAGTGACATGTGGGTATGTGAACCCTAGAGTGACATGTGTGTATGTGTGAAGCCTAGGGTATGTGAAGTCTAGAGTGACCAACCTGGTGCAGTTCGTCCTCATCAAACTCCCCAGTCTCTGCCCAGTACTCCAACTCCAGGTGCAGGTCAGATGGGAACAGGAAGGACCTGAAAGTAATACATCAGCCATGTACTTGATCTTCTCAAGTAAACAGACATTTCATGAATAATCCATACCCTTTGTAATATGAGAAAAGAGGTTCTGACAAACATCTTCAAACATGCTACAGTCAAGAAGTGAAATTTTTCACCTGAGCACACATCGTGTATGCTTCCATACAAAGAACTAATATTTCATAAAAATAATGAGGCTTATTGCCCCATGCTGCAGTCTCCTAGCCAGGCCAGGCTGGCCATCTTCAGCTTTCAGCACTCACCAGTCTGTTGGAACAGTGCCTGTGTTCTCAAACATCAGGTTGACCACACAAGGTTCACTGTCCAAGGGAGCTGCACTAAAGTTGAAGTCCAGGATAGCTCGGGTGTACACTGGTGGACGGCGCCGATGGCTGAAAAGAAACGGTCAGTTAAACAAATGCAAAAGATGTTAATGCAGATTCTTCAAACTTCATCAGTAATTAGGAACATAGAATATACACAGTAAGAGAAACTAGCAACGTTGATAAATAGATGAAGCTGTGATGTCACTTCAAAGATAAGCAATTGTTGTGAATGGGTTCAGGGTATTTATTGTAACAGAAGGGGAAAATGGTACACTGGAAAATTCAGATGATTACACAGCAATAATGGATGACACAGTAGAGATGTGTTCTGCCGTGACTGGCTCACCTGTGTCTGGTGGAGACGTTGTACATGAGTTCCTCCGCTGAAGGGTCAGAGTCCAGGCACACGTTCATGCTGAAAGTCGGGTAACAATGACAAATTTAGACCAACTAATCCATTTACGTTACCTCATAAGATAAACACACTTTCGGACAAATAGTACTCCCAAATCCCAAACAGGATTTTACATATAAGAAGAAAGCATGGAAATGTTACCCCCCAGTTTGTACCTGCTCTATCAAACCTCTCTACATCATGACACTTCTGGGCCCTGTTCCTCAAAGCGATCGTAGTGCTACGACAGTCGTAAGTCTATGTTAAAGTATGGTATTTACGATCATCTTAGCGCTACGAACTGGGTCCAGGTCTTATGAATTATATGATCACTATACTGAATATGTCCCTAGGTTTTCTAAAAATCCTTTATCAAGTCAACACTGATACTCCAAGTAACATAACAATCCTGATAATATCTATCTACTAACTTGTCAAGAGAGAAGAGGTTCCACAGCTGTTTCTTGCTGATTCCGATGGCGCTGCCGTAGCAGCGGGCGTCCGTGACGGCCATGATGGGGAACACCCCCGTCATGAGGATGTGGCACAGATGCTTCAGTTCCTGCACCGATGCCTGGGACTTGGTGCCTAGGGAGGACATGTTGGACATGGTCATGCATTATGTCATGAAGTTAAGACATGGCATTATTCCGGTTGGTCTAATATGACGCAGTGAGAAGTGATAAACATGCCTCCAAGTTTAGCCTAGTCCAGAAAGATTCTGGATGGTGTAGCAAGCTAAGCTAATAACAGTCCAAATAGCAACACTACAAAATCAGAAAATGATGCATTAGAGCAAAAATTTGATTCAGTAAGCTTTTAGGTTTTCACTCTAACTGAAGTTATCACTAACCAAGTGACTGATCACAACAGCTGTCAAACTGTGGCCTTATATTTGGACCTGGGAAAAAATTAGTGGCAACATCTTTGTATCTGGAATTTGATGTAACCACTGTAGTGTGAATCTTTCACTTGTACAGCCTTGGGATTGAAAATCTATTTGTTTCCTAGAATCCCCATGGTAGTTAAACACAAGAAAACATTACTTATTTACGTTTAAATATGTTTGAATTGATTTGAGCAGTGGAGGTGGATATAGTGAGTCCTACCTTCCGGTGTGAGGAGCTGGTAGGACACACTGTACTGGTAGGTGACCCTCCTGAGTGGGCGTACTGTGAGGAGTATTGTCTGTCTGGATCTGGCTGGCAACACTCCCTCCATGGTCTCCAGATCCAGGCCTGAAACATGCAGCAGCCATCTTATATAAAGTCAAACACCAATGTATCAAAGTGGAAGGAACCAGCGCAATGACTTTGAGTAATATGACTCAATTAGGAATGGCTACATAAGGAATAATAAGTGAGTGAGTGAGTTTAGTTTTACACCACACTCAGCAATATACCAGCTATATGGCGGCGGTCTGTGAATAATCGAGTCTGGACCAGACAATCCAGTTATCAACAGCATGAGCATCAATCTGCGCAATTGGGAACCGATGACATGTGTCAACCAAGTCAGCGAGCCTGACCACCCGATCCCATTAGTCGCCTCTTACGACAAGCATAGTCGCCTCTTGTGGCAAGCATGGGTTGCTGAAGACCTATTCTACCCCTGATCTTCACGGGTCACACAAGGAATAAGGACCAAGCTTTTACTTGGAGACAACCATCAGTTTGACACAACAGTGTTTGGCTGTACTTTTCTCTATGTTTTAATGCTTTGTCATGTTCAGTGGGGTAAATGAACATCCTCCCAAGCAAGCTTGAAATGTTTGAAACATTCATGGAAAATTTAATACAAAACCTCACTTTACACATACCTGACATAATCCAGGATGTATCAAAAGTTGTTTTGTTAATGAAATAAGTTCACATAGGAACAGAGAATATTCTTTGTCATGTATTTGTTGAATTGAATAGACAAAGAGACAAATAGATCAGAAATTTATCTTGGATTCTAAACTATGTGGCCATGAAAGGCAATTCAAAGTTATTTCTTTTTCCATTTTAATGATGCTTGCAATTTATAGAATTGTTCCAACTGACAAAAATAACATTGAAGACTGATCAGTAATTTCAAATGACCACACAATCAAACACAGTTGTCCATATACCACTCATAGATGCATATACATTGTTAAAAACTGGCATGAATGTCAAGAATTGTTGGTCTAAGGGGTTGAATGTTAGAAAACGTCAGAGTCTCTAGATTCAAGTACTGCAGAAGTAAACCTTACGACACAAGGACCCTCTTCAATTATGAACGTTGATATGGACAAAACCCTCTAGAGTACATGTAGAATATCACAGTGTTTAAAATTCCCACCTGCCCGACCATCCGGAACAGTCTATTTTCATCTCGGACGGATATTTCATAATGTCAGACAGTTTATCTGGTCATCAGTTTGAGGTGTTTAAGGTATTATGATAATTATGTTAAACTATTTACAATTGGACAGTTCATTTTACAATAACCAATCACAACACATGTACTTCCAGTTCACCTAAACCCATTGCATTGGCTGTTTGTGCTATGTTGTTCATGTTCTATGTTGCGATGCTTGCAAACAGTAAAGTATTTGGAAACCTGATTTTTTGTTTTCATTGTTGAAAACCGGACAGGCAAGTTTGTATCAGGACTGGTAATTTTTTAAAGTTACCAGTCTGGCTGTATGGCTTGGAATTTTGTGAGTTTTAAACACTGATATCACTAACCCATCTTGTCACTCCTCATGATACTGTCTGCGCACGGGCCATCAACATGCTGGTCAAGCAGCAGTCGGAAGTGGAGGCTGCAGTTGCTGCTGTTGTACAGGGTGATGTGGTGGGAGGCAGAGCTACCAACGACGATGTCACCAAAGTCAAAGTACTTCTCCTCTGCCTGCAATGAGTGTACATTAATGAAAACAAATGCTTGGCAATATATATCACTTGTGTAAGGCACAACAGATCGTCAGTGTTCCTTATAAGAGCAGACTAAAATGACAAATGGGTGCCTGACCTATTATGGACCATTGGCATGGATTAGTGTTCGTGCTATCAATCACTTGTCTGCCTGCCCTGTTACAGGATGCAGTGACCTAGCTGGAATATGCTGCAGTGTAAAACAACATTTTTCCTCAATCATTTTTTGGAGAGCACAGAATAATGACTAACATATTCTTCAAATAAAAATAAAAATAAAATAGCATTTCAAATATACATAATTGGCTGTGACAACGTAATGTGTAGTTTGACATGGCCCACAAATTCAATTTTTCAATGACATCTAAGACCAATCATACTAAACCAGTATACCACATATTTATGATGGCTGTCATAAAAAAATGGACTTACCAATATCTCCCCGAGTGATCCCTCCCCGATAGCACGCAGCTTGAACTGTTTCTTCTTGCCCCCAGATGAGTTGTTCATGAAGCCCTGCCCCCACGCAATGAGGCTCGGCTTCATCACATACTTCTCCTCACCCCCAGGGATGAACGACCATGTCTGGCTCTACACAATAAATACACAACACCATTACAAGGGCCGCAGGTGCAGAAGCAGTTACATGTTGTTAGAATTCACATATCTATCAGCTTATATATTGTTCAAGAACTTGTCTGAAAATCAAAACATACAAGAACAAGTTCATGGGTTCCTCCCAAAGTATTGTGGAAGGGAATATTTTCTGATTCTCAAAAAGAAAAGAATAGAATGTTGCTAGAAGGTACATTAATGTGAATACAACATGGCTGTGTCAGATTTACCTGTGATTCATTAGGATGAATGATGCCACAGTCAGGTTGAACCTTCAGCAGCTTGGAGTCCGCATGATTCAACTTCCACTCAAACCTACAATATGACACAAACACATTATTATGTATATTTATTACCTACAAGGGCAAACATATTGGGGTTCATATTTTTCATACGATGCCCTAGGGCAAAATATCACTTTGTCATGGTGACCTGACGTCATGAACAATGCTATGACGTCACGTTTCTTCTGTGACGTTACATTCTACATGCGGCGACAACAGGTAGCCAGCCTGTGTTTGAAAGTAGATTTGGTTTTATTTTCCTCAATTTGGCAACTTCGGTAATAAACAGAATATTATATTCGTGCCCATATGATACTATGTTTACGACACTCGAACCTAAATATCGGTATATCCCTCACTCTCGGAAATACCAACATTTAGGCACACTCGTGTCCTAAACATAGTATGACATGGGCACTCATATAATATCCTCTGTATGTGATATATGCAATAAGCACTATTCAAATTTCAACACAACACAAGCCTAATCTTGAAACAGACAATTGTGTACTGAACAGCCAGCACTATCGACCATGAAAATAGAGGCTATTTGACCTGAGAGGTATTCTGGAGACGTTCTTGATGGAGTATGTCCTCTTTGAGGCTGTCCCCACACAGGTAGGCTTGAAGAACATCACTCCGCCGGAATCCATCATGACTTCTGCAGACTCTGCTGACCCACACAGCTGGAGAGCCTGCACAAACATACAGCACACTGTACACCACAAGTCTTACAGTCAGTGAAAAACATACTTCCCTGAAGGGGTTACAGATCTTCCAACTCAAAGAAATGAATACTTTGGCAACATGCTCTGGAAGAACTGAAGATTTAATAAATTCCATATAAGTTAGTAAGTAACCAAGTTTTGAGTTCCTAAGTCAGTTTAAAAGGAAAACGAATGAAATGTACGAAATTAAAAAACACAAACAAGTTTCAAATGCTGGCCTACTGATCCAATCAAATACCATTGCAAGTCTGTGACACCCTGAAAACCGACTTTAATACAGATATGAAACATCTGAAACACTTCGATTTATAACTTGACAGGTATCAAATTCCTCCTGATAAATCAAAGGGCAGTGGTGTAGTCTGGGGCTTCAAGTGTTCGTTTAGCACTCTGAAAAAGCCTGGTTGAAATTCCAGCATGGACAAAATGTGTGAAGGCCATTTCTCATGACCATGTTTGTGATGTTGATGGAATATTGCTAAAATTATTGTGAAACCACTCACTCACTCATCAAAATCTTTTACCTCATGATACTCTCAAACTGTTGCCTACCAACTCACTGTAATTTGATGGTGCTTAGGATTCTGCCCCAATACATTCATAACCTCCGTTAACCTTGGAGGTCATTTGTATCCAATTACTGTGTCCTGACTGGAACACTATTAATAAAGACTAATGAAGCACAAGAACCAACCACCCACCCTGCTGTACTTGTCATTATCATTAAGCTTGAGCAGCATGGCGTGATGATAGGTCTTCACTTCAGAGGGTGTACACTTCACCACGAAAATCTGCACACCCTCTTTCAGAAGACCTTTGGCCGGCTTTATGGCAAATGTGCTGGAAACAATGAAGCATTAGAAAGTGAGAATTCAATTACTAGTGTCAGAATTACATAGATGTTCAATGGCTCTATAACAGAGGACTGAATAAGGACAAAAGTGTCCTACATATTGTTATAAGAAATATAAAGTTTATCAAACAGTTTAGCTGCACAGTACAATAATCAAAAACATCTTTACATTTCTACATTTGGACCCCTCTATATTACAGTTTTATGTTAATTACATTTGCTTTAACAAAACATGATTGTGAAAGCGGCTTACTTGCTAGGGTCTTTCTCCAAATCAAACAGTATGGGTGTGGTGCCCTTGTTCTGTACACACAGTGTGCGGTACGTCGACTCCTTGGCGTTCACCGCTGGGAACACCAACTTGGGGCTGTTGACATTGTAACGTGGCAGGAAGGTCTCATTGTTGGGCATGAAGGTGTGACCTGGAGCAACACAACACGGTTAATGTCATCTTCCTTCATCACCCATAAGTTTTGGTTGTTAAACATCGCAGTCAGCAATACTACAGCTCTATGACAGTGACCTTCAACTAATTCATTCTGGATTAGACAATCCAGTATCCCCTAACTGTGAGTGAGTTTGGTTTTATGCCACTTTTTTAACATTATTCCAACATTATCATGGCAAGGGACACCAGAAATGGGCTTCACACAATGTACCCATGTGGGGAATCAAACCCAGGTCTTCGGCGTGACAAGTGAACACTTTAACCACAAGGATACCCCACCGCCCTGTGAGGGTAAGAAAATCACTGATCCTAACAACACAATCCATTAAGTCTCCGGTTAGGACCAGCGTAGGTTGCTGGTGACATGTCCTCATTCAGGATCCCCCTAGGGCATTAACTACGGAATATAAGAGGATGATCGGAAGCCAGTTAGGTCTCATACATACCTGTACAGCTGACAGTCAAACACCATGGTGGGCAGTGGGTGACCTCCTCTACCAGACGATAGTCACGCAGGCTCTTGTAGAACACAAAACACTCCAACTCGGCTCCATACAGCTGATTTGGGGCATTCTGGAAGAACCGAAGATTTGACACTAATCCAGACAGTCAAGCGTAGGTTTACCCTTTTTTCATACAGCGAAGTAATAGATAGTGCATTAACAACACTAGACTGCCAAACCACAGCTTCAGTCATTCCATTGGTCCTCAAGAAAATTAGCTGGACAGGGCCCATAGGTAAGTGTTTGAACTTAAGCGGGTTCTTGGGGTCCTTAGGGGTCTCATGTCCTATTTGGATTTAAGGACACCACTCAGTTTTTAATCTTTGATATTTCAATCAATGGTTACTTTTCAACACTCAAAAGTATCTGCTTGAAGCTAGCAACTCATTTAAATTGTCGCAATGCATGGCTATAAGAGAGTCGCAACTCACCGGCTTGAATGAGACTCGGAAGGAGCAGCTCTTGAGGGGAGGGATGTCCATGACAGTGGGGTAGACCGAGAACATGTGACTACCATCTGTAACAACATCAGCAGCATCAGTCTCTACAGCCCAGCAACGTTTGATAGTAAACTCAGTTGATATTACCCGACAAAACATAGATGAGTTCTGAACATGGTGAGTGAGTGAGTGAGTTTAGTTTTACGTCGCACTCAGCAATATTCCAGCTATATGGTGGCGGTCTGTAAATAATCGAACCTGGACCAGATAATCCAGTGATCAACAGCATGAGCATCGATCTGCGCAATTGTGAAACAATGACATGTGTCAACCTAGTCAGCCAGCCTGACCACCAGATCCCGTTAGTCGCCTCTTACGACAAGCATGGGTTACTGAAGATCAATTCTAACCCGGACCTTCACAGGTGTACTGAACATGGTACTGGTAACTAGGGTTACCTCCCATCCACTGCACTGTGACCTTGCCCTTGGTGTGGTTGGTGATATTCACAGTCTGAAGAGAACACAACAATCACATCAGCATAGCAATGAAGCGTATATTAGTGACAAGACAAAAAATCTGATTGTGAGAAAACATTTCTGAATGATAACATCTCCAATTTGAATACTATAATAACTACAAGCACACATCTCATTTATTACATTTTTCATATAAACTGAAAAGAAACATTAATCTTGTATGTAGAAAACAGAAAATATGCCTAAAAATGTTCTCTACTTACCAAAACCTTATCTTAAGACATTTAAAATGACTCTTGTACACTACTTCATTAGTATGATAAATAACATGTAAAATGATCGTGGTCAGTTATCTCACCTTGTCTTCAATGACTCTCAGATTCTGACAGTTGCCAAAGTCAGCCAAGTGGACATCTGTGCTCACATGTGGGACAAAGTTCTGAAATTTTAAACAAATTATTTATTTCAATACTTCTAGTGTTACCCTGACCAGGGCTCTATTTCCCAAAGCCATCATAGCAAGGTCAACTCCCATACTTTAACATAGACTTACAACAGTCGTAATGCTACTATCGCTTTGTGAAACGGGCCGAGGCTACCAATGTGACTTGTGCCAGTCAAATATTGAACTTTCCCACAACCAGCAATATTCCATCTACATGGCACCGGCCATTATCATCCCACAGAGGTTACTTGTGATATCTTCCTACGAACCTCTGTTCTAATGCCATATTTCCTGGTTCCTGTAAAATCCTCCAGCAGCAAAAACACGAATTACCTCCCTTCTTTCTATCCAACCAGAACATGTGTTTCACCGACTTAGATCCAACTTGACTAATGCAAGTAAAAATGGGGCCACAAATATCCCTCCTCTGCCGGGGACAAGACATTTAATGGTTAGCTTGTCCGTTGTCAACGAGAACGATGCAGACGCCATTGATCCGGCATTACATGATCGAGTTCTGTCTAGAAGAAACGTTTGCGCATCGCACAGGGGAAGAGGTTCCAGTTTCCCCAAAGCATAGGGAAATTACCGAGGCCTTGCGAATGAAACAATGTCGCTGATTGCACGACTAAATCTGATTGCAACCAATCATGAATCCTGAACACTCGCACCATGAAAGGGCCGTATTAGAACAGAGGTTCGTAGGAAGATATGACAAGTAACTTCTGTGGGAAGAGAAATGATAAAATCTGGACCACACAACCAATGATTGATATTATGAGCAATGATCCAATTTCGTGGTACAATGCAATCAGTCAATGAATTCACCTAGCCTAACCACCCAATTCATCAAGTCATTTTTTACCACCAGTGATAGCTGATGGGGTCAAACCTAACTCGGAATCACAGTGAAGAGTTAAAGTATTGCACTTACTACAAGGTCACAGTGGAATCCATCGTTGAAGTATTCATCTGTCGGAGGGACGCTTGGCGTCAATGTTTCGTTCTCCTTCATCTCAACTGGTTCCGTCTACAAGCAAAAACGTCACTGTTTCAAACAATGCCATAATACCATGACTTTAAAAATAATCTCTTGCTAATTGAATCTATTTACATCTGAAAATGAAATGCAGAATTAATCTTTTTCAAAACCTGGTTCTTTTCCTGTATCATTATGATATATATCTGATAAGCTGTCAATCAAATCAGTTAGCATCTTGCATTATTTGTATGTGACAGAAATAATCTGTATCAATTGACAGTACATGAATCTGAAACCAATCTTGTAAATTTGACATATTTTTAGCAAAGAAATCATTATATACTTATCCTGACTCATAATAACAAACCTCCAGTTTTATAACATGTTATATTTGGGACTACACTTACAGATTCTAGTACTTTTGTTGGGTTGAGTCCTATTTGGGATTCAAACCCCATCCTCAGAGTCAGGCACCTAATCACCAGCACACTAAGTCAGACGTCTAACCTGCTCAGCCACCACGACTTCCTCCTGACTCTGAGGGTGTGGGTTCGAATCCTAAATAGGACTCAACCCAACAGAAGTACAAGAACCTGTACTTTACTGAGAAAGTGTAATAAATAATATAACATTATGTTACATTTGATCACTTTCTAAATGGCATTGTGTATTCAAACCCAGTGATAGAATATTATCAATACTAAAGTCTAATTAAATACTTCCAAAAGAAAAGCTTGGGCCACTCGACTCACATTATATTATATCAGGCTATTATTTGAGCACAGACAAATATCTACTGTTTACTATCTGACAAAACATATCTAATGACACTCTACATGACTATGTATCTACTATATGTCTACATCAACACTGGGTGGTGGGCTAGGCTAGTGGTTGATGCGTTTACTAGTCCTGCCAAAGGCCTGGTTCGATTCCAAACATCAGTAATTTGTGTGAAGCATCTTTCTATAGCCCCGTACATGATCTCCCCGGAATATTGCTGAAGGTGATGTAAAACCATGCTCATTCACTCCATGTCTGAAATCTGTCCTCAATAACATATCATTGGAGGTAAGAGCTTCCAACACAATGTCTCATTGACGATGTGACAGTGTTTAGAGTATCAACCTTGATAACAGTCATTTCTGCATTCAAAGGTATTACTTTACATGTTATATGTCAATGACTAGCATTTAATTACTATGTTCAGTTCCTCAACAGAAAGAAATATCAATAGTTATCTAGTCTAAGTAAACTTAGGCTCAGTATTATTCATTACACTGCTATACTGCTACACTGCTATACAAACCCTAGACTTGGGTGAGACAAAGCAAGGTGTTCCAGGAAAGAATACTGCAATTTAATTCATCACCATGTTTTGCAGACAGACCATTGTGACATCATCATTACCATGACATCACAATCATGTACATCGCTAGTCTCTGCCACTCAGGCTGGTTAGATGTTTACTCTACATTCAAGACACAGCTCATTTCTGTTAACAAACTGAAAAACCTAGGAAGAATGACTTTGGATGCTGAACAGAACCACACCATAGTGTGTTTTAATATCAAATACATCTACAGTTGTTGATAAAAAGTTAAAACACCCTGGCAGCTTTAACCTTTTATTAACTTGTGTAAATATATTATCATCAGAACACACTGTAGTCAGATTCTCAATGTATAATATACAAAATTTAAATTAAAATGATCAAAACTCTGGCATAGGAATAAGCAGCCGTATTCCATACATCTAACTAATACTACCAAAGTTATACAGATATTAAATCTACAATGAATACACTGTATGTCTCATCTACGTTAAACACAGAACAAGAACAACTTGAACATATCCTTTCATCTAAAGCTATCAGACTATCATAGAAAAATTCCCATTAAATGTTATATCTATAGACTAGCTACAAGAACATCTATCAGCCCTGCATCCCGCTATGACATAGTGCTAACAGGATTGTATACAAGCTACAAGCAGTATCAGGAGATGGTAAGATACAACAGGTATAGACAAAGAAGGGAGTACCATGTCAGGAAGTAAAAGTGTCACTCTGGTCCGCTGGAACAACACATGGAGAACAGGAAGTGATATCTTTTGAAGATAGATGAGACCTCACACAACACAGTCCTTACTCAATGTCTTACTATCATTGTAATTTGAGACTGGTATTGAAAGGACTGCATATCATGCACTATCAAATTCAAACAAAGAAAAGCTAGGGTAGTGGAAATATACAATATGTACATTGTATCATAAAGTCATATTCTTTATTTTTATTTTGTCTTGGTCACACAGACAGCATGATACAAATTAAATGAATACTATTCTTATCCGAGACTACTTAAAATGCAAAATATCTAAACTAAAAGAAAGGATGACAAAATATCAGTAATTCAGATCAAACATTTCATAATTTGATTGTGAATAAAAAAATAATGCCTGAAATGTGTTAAAAACATCATACTAGAGACTGAACTCTCATCAAAGACACAGATATGCAGTAACAAAAAAAAAACCCAGTCAGGAAATCCAAGATGGCCACCAAAGAAGACAAAGTGTCACTGATATGTTCTGTTACCTACCTGAGCTATCCTGAGTAGCCCTTCCTCATCAGTCTCGAGCTTGCCTTCCCTCAGCAGCTCATTCAGTTGCTGAAACAAACATACTCGGTGCAGACTCAGGGGAGATACACAGGTGTTACTGGTACAGTACTGAGAGTGGGTACAACATGCAGTCTGTGTGTCATGTAAGTGCACATCAAGAACACAAGGAATATTTCTGTATCATCACAATATCTTCAAATCACTATCATACTTACTTTCAAAAGTAACGACGAGTGTACTGGTGTGATGAAAAAGCACAACATCATATTCTGTGTAGGTAACACAGGCAGAATCTAAGTTGCCATGATTATGAAGATGAGCTTCATATCTAGCCAAAATCTTATGTGGTTTGTCTGTTCTGTTTTCTATGATATAATGTGTCTAATTATGCGTCCCTAAACAAGATCCCCTTAAAGGGAAGTCATATCCGTTGTTTATCACTTACATAGTAATAATAATAATAATGAGGGTACTTATATCTGCGCAATACTCCACAACATGAAGGGGCATGCTCAAAGCCCGCACAAACAGCACAACATTATTACCCCGGATAACCCAAGCTGCCTGTTAGGTGCTAGAAGGTTATAGTCACATGACTTATCCCACCTGGTACCCATTTTCTGCTGGGAGAACAGAGGCAATTTTGAACAAACTCACTTGCCTATGGTGAGACCACATATATAACAAAGGACTACATTGGTTGAGAAAATGAAATCAAATGATCTGAAGACAATTTAAGGTTAAACAAACAATGAGATCTGAAATGAAACCCATACATACAATGATATGACACTGTACCACTACTGTGCTACAGTTATCCATGCAGTGGAGGTCCAACCATTTCTTACCTCTGGAGGGTACATGGAAAACCCTCTCTCCACATGCATCTTGAAGCGGTCAAGGTGTTTCTTCAGCAGGACCGCTGGCTTGACCATCTCGGAGTGACAGGTCCCGAGCATGTCCAGGAACAGAGGACCCTAAGGACACAACAGGTAGTATACACACTAGTGTTGGGTAGATCCATGTCAGATGTGCTACGGTACATACCTTTATTAAATGCCTCTATAGCTAAACTTCACATGCACAATAAACATAATATTTGACATGTTACCAATCTTATGGTTTGCAGATTTTTTGCAAGCTAATCAGTTTGCTTTGTGTAAAAATATCTGGAAACGTAAGTTATTATTTTGTAAGGTTCTTTGGTACAGTTTTTATTTAATCTTCATACATTATTATATTATGAGTTAAATAAAGACAGTCATGCAGGCAAGCAAATAGAAATAATTCTTCAAATTCCAAACCTTTTCCCATGAACATTTTAAAAAGAACTGTTGCCATATTCCTGTTATTGTTAACATTCAAAGTAAGGTATTGTTAGAATGATGGTACACATTAACAATTCAGTATCAAATACAAATCTCATACGAAAATGGGTATAACACAGTAAAAATCTCTGACATGTAAATCACACAGAGAACTTGATCCTTATTTGCAATAACAGTGCAATGAATTTATGTGTAGTTTTATCTCTGTGGCCACCAGTAAGGTGAGTTACGTAATTCTACACTGAAACATTAATGGTAGACTCTAACAATGATGAACTGGTCCTCTCACCTGGTTATGGATGAGGCAGGTGACCCTCCTGTAGTAGTTGATGGGGTGGGTGGGTGTGAAATGGAGGATGACAGTCTGCACAGAGTTGGGCTTTAGGACACCTGACATGAACTGGAACTTGAACACACTCTCGTCACAGTCGATCATAAACTGGAAGAAAGAAAAAACAGCATGGGATATTCAATTGAGAAGATTTTCTCATTGCATTTTTTTTGTATTGCTGGATGAGAGAGTGTTGATATTATAAGTGGCGCATAACCTCATAGCAAGTGAGTGAGTGAGTTTTAATGAAGTGAGTGAGTGAGCGAGTTGTAATGAAGTGAGTGAGTGAGTGAGTGAGTGAGTGAGTGAGTGAGTGAGTGAGTGAGTGAGTGAGTGAGTGAGTTTTAATGAAGCTTTTAGGGGAAAGGCCACCACTTATATACATGGCAGCATAAGCAATGCTACCTGTGGCCCACTACCAGGAGATCTCGCCATGGTACATATGTGTATCTGACGTACCTGGTACACTGCCTCCACATCACTGCTGTTGACAATGTCTACAGTGCGAGTCCCAGTCTGACCAAAGTCGACCTCCATAAAGTTGACAACGTTTGAGCTCAGTTGTACTGTTGGACCTTCAAGAGAGATTGCTAACAGGTTCAACATTCACACCGAACAAACTCATCTATAGTTTACTGATACAGTACCAAGAGAATTCCACTGAAAGTCACTGGGCAAGTGACCTATAGTCGGAAATAAACTGTACTTTTCTCATTTATCTCTATATACCAGTTCATACAAGTGTGAAATATCTGTTAAACTAAGTTGTAACTACATTCAGTGGTCAGAGATAGGCGGAGAAAATGGACTTTACAGGGGAAATTGTATTTTCTAAGTCCAAAAGACTTATTTGAACAGACCATGCTTTATGCAAATTAGTGCTTCCGACAGTACTATAGTATAAATGTGCCTCTATATACCAGCATACCATGTCAGATGGATGTAAACATTCTCAAGGCAGTTTCAGTTGTATACTCTGCAGAAGTTGGGACTGATTACTGGGAAGCATACAGAAGCACTAGTCGTGGAACAAATAATCCCCACTTTAGCAACTATTTTTCCCTGAATACATAAACATATAATGTAACCATAATTCCCAGTACTTTCCAAATCCCACTGACTTAAAGGACACATAAACTGCATACCTTTGGAGGAACCAGTGCACTTGACAATGCTGTGGCTGATGTTGCCAACAGCAGCAATGTTAAAGTAGTCGATGCTGGTGGTGTCAACTGTATTTGGGCTGAACATCAGCTGTGTGACAGAAACAGAGTTCATTTTATGACATGTGGGCACCAATCTCAGCTTCAACAAATGCGTGACCTCCAACACCCGAAATATCTACTTCGATGCTCATGCTGTTGATCACTGGATTGTCGGGTCCAGACATGATTATTTACAGACTGCTATCATATAGCTGGAAACATTGCTGAGTGATGCATTAAAAACAGAAACAAATAAACTTCCCAGTGTGGGATGTCAAATTACAAAGTGTCACCTCAATTCACATCCACTAATGTTCATGTTCTTTCAGCTTCAAAATCATCCTCTGTGGATTAATTTTAAGGTCGACAAAGTTTGGATTACTAAACTGAAATGTTTGTTGCACTATTTGATACACCAGGGCCCTTATTCTCAAAATGTTCGTAGCCCTATGAATTCTTAACTTTGATCGTAGCCAATGTGTTAAGAATGGGTTTAAGAAGTTCTGTAGGGCTACAAATGTTTTGAGAATAGGTAGCCTGACCTGTATATCAGCAGAGAAGAAGTTGCATGATAAGACTGACCGGTATTCTAACCAATGACATCGGAGGAACGATGCCTATCTTCTGGGGACAATGGAACACAGTGTCGATCCTGCTGATACCTGTTGGGTGTTCTACACAGAATGGAGCCCTCACCTGTAATACAACATAACATAGTAACTTAAATTGGACAGTGTCAGAGTCAGTATAATTGAATTACATTTATCAAACAAAAACAAACATTATGAAAAAAAACCCCAAAACACCCCAAATATAATCTGTAAGCTCTGACACATCTTCATGCTGTATGTATATTGATCATATTGCATGGTTTCCAGGCAACTAAATAAGCACTGCAGCTTATTTTCTTAATAAAAGATATTTATAAGCATCTTCAAGAGTCAGCATAAATGATCTGCCCTATATTTGACATCTAACTAATGCTAAAAGTGCTTTCCACATGGAAATGTTATAAGTCCTTCCTTAATGTTAGTAGCACCAAACATGTGGACTTATTTTATCTTTGAAAAAGGAAATGACTAAATATAATATTAACATCACTTTTAGCTATTCTAGCAAAAGCTAAGAAGGGGACACAAAGGAAGTGCTTTACATATTGCACCCATGTTGTGAATCAAATTCAGACTTTCTCGAACAAACATTTGAACTACATGTACTTGTCTACCCCAGCACCTCTTCATGTCAGCAACCTGACCAGAACCAAGAAAAGGCATGATACTTACTGGAGACAGATTGTGCAGTTCTACCCACTTGGTTACGGCAGATCCTACTGGTGTTTTCCCAAAATGCACGGCAGCCTCCAGGTTGTCTCTGTTGAGGTTGCTGGCAGGTTTACCTGGGCTCGACACCAGCAGGTGGGGATATTTACCTGACGACCAATAACATCAAGATAAGATGGAATTTTAAAGGTATTGTCAGAATAAACATTTTAGATAACCTCAGCTCAGACACATATTACGGATATACTGAAAATGTCAAAGACGCAATTTCACATAATTTATACAAATGATCAGTTATAATTAGAGTGCGTTCAGTTTGCTGGCAGGTTTACCTGGGCTCGACACCCAACAGATGGGGATATTTACCTGGCAAGCAGTAACACCAAAGTAAGATAGCATTTCAAAAGTATTGGCAGATTCAAAACATGTCAGATAACCTCAGCTAAGACACATATTTTACAGAAATACTGAAAATGTGAAAGACACAAATATACTTATGATCAGTTATAATTAGAATTCAGTTTTACATAATAGCAATATTCCTGCAATACCATGCAGGGGATACCAGAAACAAGCGTGACAAGCAAACGCTACCCACCGCCCCACTCAAAATTCATGTTATTCCTGGTATACTGGAAATAGTAACAACTATGCTTCACAATACATTTAAAAGATACATATACAAAACCAAAATCAAGCATATGTTCTTCTTACTGGTAACAAGTGAAATTGACGTCATGCAATTCAGAAATTAGCAACCGATTCATGTGATCAAAAAGAAGAATCTCATTGCAACCAGCTTCCTGCATATAATGGGTGAATTACCTATACATGCATTGTAACCATGGCAACAAAACAAAATGGTGGACAACTACAAGTTGTCATAACCGTACACAGGACATTTGATGATTGAGTATTTTTTTTATTCAGTTCATAACAAATAACAGATGAAATAATGCATGCAATATGATAAGGTACATATTGCTATGCAGTCAACTGCAATACTATAGTTAGGCCACTGGTAATAATCTTCAAGATCTTGACTTACCAATCCCCTTGAGTTTTGTAACTTTCGATAAGGTTCCGTCGACTCCATACTTGCATAAGGCTTCTGCTTCATAAACCGTAGCTCCCTGACAGAAAAAACATTACATCAGGTTAATTACTCCATGTTAATTACACCAGTCCTTTCCAGAACAGGTAATAAAAACATCCAAAAACATGAAATTCTTTTACAGTTACAGAGTTAACATTTTGAGATGTTCATTGAGTGAACACTTGACTATTTGCAGGTGGTACCTCTGGTTTGAAGGTGGCCTTGAACTGACAGGAGGACCTGACTGGGAGGTTGGCTTCTGTTGGCTCGATGACGAATGGTTCCTTCACCTCCCACTGAATGCTGGTCTCTACATCTCTACATCAACATAAACAGATCCTTGTTGGAAACACTTACAGATCAAGCCTTTGTTGACAGTTGTATAACAGACTGGTAGAAACTATGCTGTTATTTCAGTGTTCCCGTTCTCCGGTAATTACCGGATTTTTACCGATAAAAATTGTGAAGATCCGGTATTTTCAACTGCCGTCGGTAGCTGCCGCCGGTAAATTTTGTATTGCTTAAAGTTGCCATTTATCGGCAGATTTAATAAACTTGCAGATAACATCTTTGTTTATTCTTTGTTCTCTTCAGATCATTATGCAAACGTATATTGAAAACTAGGGTGGCAATCCCACATCTAAATATAGACTATATAGTTTTTTCACAGTTGTAAGAAGCGATTTTATTGGATAAAGATTGGTTTCTAATGACGCTTTTTCGCCACAGTCTGCTATAAGGGTCGTAATTGGTCAAAATCTGACACGTGACCTAAAGCAGCCAATCATATTACGGCAATGGATTCCGTCCTCGTAAACCAAAACTTTTAGATTTAGACAGAAGTTTTGGGTAAAATAATGCTATTCTGAACATATTAAGGAAGAAATCTCTACCTATACGTAAATTATGGAACTTTTTGGACGTATCGTGCTAGGTTATGACCTGTGACAAATATGCTTCATGTATATATTTTAGCATTAAACATCGTGTCCGAGAGTGAAGATTGAGGCGGCGAGAGCCGAGATGTCAGTTGTCAGTGACTTGACTTACATTACATGATCGCACAAAAACATGGAAAATAGTAATTTTATATGTACAACTTTTATGAATGTTGTTGATTTTATTCATTAGTTTATTCAATTTATTTAATGAATTCCTCGAAACATGGTTACTTTGCTCTTTGACAATGTTATTGTGGACCCGCTGCGAAGCATGTGTCGAGAATCGTTGTTTTCAACTCGTGAAATGCAGGTTGAAATTCACCACAGGTATATAAACACTAATTATTTGCACATTTCACAGTCATTTAGATAGCGAATGACATTCTGAACACATTTATCGAATTTAGTTGGACCGCTTTCATTTCCTGATTGTGACAAAATCACGAGGACGAACGGCTATATATGCCAAATGGCGAATACTTTTGTCAGGTCTAATGAGCATTCTCGAAAAACAAGCAACTCGTACGGCAGACTTTTCAACACATTTACGTACAGTATATCGTTGCGATTACTGATTAATTTGTCTCTCCGGATAAAAACTAGTTCAGCCGGAATTTTCAGACCCCGTCGGCATAAGCCGCCGGTAATTTTCAAAACCACCGGGAACACTGTATTTACCCTGCACTGACAATAAATGTTATTGACCTTGCATTGACAACAAATGTTATTTACCATGCATTGACAACAAATGTTATTTACCATGCATTGACAACTAATGTTATTTGCCATGCATTGACAACATATGTTATTTATCCTGAACTGACAATGGATGCTATTTACCTGCACTGACAACTAATGCTATTTACCTGCACTGACAACAAATGCTATTTACCCTGTACTGACAATCAATGTTATTTACCCTGTTCTGACAAAACTGTTTACCCTGCACTGACAACAAATGTTATTTACCCTGCACTGACAACACTGTTTACCCTGCACTGACAAAAATGTTATTTACCCTGCACTGACAATACTGTTTACCCTGCACTGACAAGAAATATTATTTACCCTGCACTAACAACAGTTTACCCTGCACTGACAACAAATGTTATTTACACTGCGTGACAACAAATGCTATTTACCCTGCACCGACAACAAATGTTATTTACACTGTACTGACAACAAATGTTATTTTCCCTGTGCTGACAACAGTTTACCCTGCACTGACAACAATTGCTATTTACCCTGCACAGACAATTGCTATTTACCCTGCACTAACAACAACTGTTATTTACCCTGCACTGACAACACTGTTTACCCTGCATTGACAACAAATGCTATTTACCATGCATTGACAACAAATGCTATTCAATCCTGTATTTATATACTTGAATCTGACATCATCCAATGTCATTCATTGATACCATGTGAGCAACAATTATAATTTATTTACCCAGTGTTTACAACTTCAAATGTCATGTCCACAAAGTCCTTGGAGGCACACATGTTGAAGTCCAGGCGTGCTGGACTGTCAATGACAGTCTGTGGTAGAATAGCTTTGATACAGATCTCAAAGTCCCCATCCTGCAAGAGAAATATATGTATTCCAGTTTATTTTGTTCTTTACTGCTGTAATGTCTTTGAACACATGGTACCACTTCCGGAATCACTACAGCTAATATCAACTTCATCCCAGATGACACATTGTAACCTCCATCTTTATATATGCATCAAAGCTCACCTTAGTCCTGAACTGAATCTTGTCCTCATACTGTTTTTTCTCCAGAGGACGGAATGTGATGGGGAGAGTGAAACTAGTGCCAGCACTAAGTACAATAGCCTTTGGGTACACAGTGCTGAAGAAACGGGAACTTGGAACTCTGGAAACAAATCAAAACACAGGATCAGGTAAGAAGTGAGTGAGTTTAACTTTATGACGCGTTTAGCCATATTCCAGCAATATCAGGGAGGGGGACACCAGAAATGGCCTTCACACATTGTACCCATGTGGGTAATCAAACTCAGGTCTTCAGTGCGACGAGCAAACGCTTTACCCACTAGGCTGCCCACCCAACCTTTTTTAAATATAGAATAAGACACATGGTTATCGTCGTAGTTATTGTCAAGTCTCCGAATTAATTATTTTATTATTTAAGAACACTGATTCACAATAACATTCTTCCAAATCATTTTCCTTTCACAAACTAAGTTAGCAAAAATGTTTTGAAGTACTTCACTTAAAAATTGTAATTATGATAGATATATTCTGTTTTAGTAGCTATATTGTTAATTTTTAGATCACAATGGTATCATTTAAAGCTCTAAACGCAACAGGGCTAACACAGACAAAAGCTTACTTGTATCTTAGCTTTTGTGTTTTGATCTGTATGTTCTTGAGGACGATATTCTTGGTATACTCTCTCCCAGGCTCCCAGCCCTGCCACAAGACTTGTTCTGTGACTTCCAGTCCATTTTTGTTGACCCTGCCAGCTGGTGCCACGCCTGTAGGAAGAATGTCGGTTTTCACCTTCCCGATGTTGCCATATGTTGACGGGGTCATCTGTTGGGCTACTTCAGCAGTGGGCATTTTGCTTGTTTATGTCTTCTTCTGTACTAAAGAAACAATAATAGACTTATATACATACAATCATCAGGTGAACACATTAAAACAAAAAAAGGAAAAAAAAGGATAAATGTAAATGTTGGGTTCATGAAATCTTTATACATCATTTCAATCAATGCATGACAATTGATATTAGGAGCCCCTTATGATATGCATTAGGATTTATCTTCAAAGATCCAGTGATTATGACAAGCACACATATGACCAATATGTTAATCCATCGATACAGATGTTCTAAACAATTCTTTTGAATATCAAAATATACAATTATGTCCCTCAAATTTCCAGTTTTGTACATCACGAGTTTAGCCTTCCCTATAATTTTTCAAAACATTTGAGTAACATGGCCAGCTAAATTTCAACCCAGTTAACAGTGTGGATATAGGTCAGTCAGCTGGCGTATCGGCATCCTACTGAGTCTTAAAAACACTGCTTATAACCTATGGCAGATATGGTCATGCTGAATTTCAATCTGCTGATTACAGAAATGACTTCATCATTTATATGCCCTATTGCAGTTTACACTATCATGACAATATGGTGGGGTAAAAACATATTACAGTTAGAATGGACAATACAGGACACCTACAGCAATAATAGGAGGAAATGAGTATTAGTTCATCCCTATGAACAGTTTCTAACCTTTCTACATTTTAGCCAGCAAATTAAAAGAGACTGGGAGTTGGGAGTGGTTGGGGTGGCAGGTAAAATATCTCACACACACAATGACTTGAAACAAATGCTATCATAAGTAAAGGTCATTTCTATTGTTCAGAATAAATAGAAAATGTTTTCTTTTTCAAATATGGCCCAATCATATGTCACTGATGAGCAGTGTTTGCAATACTTTCATTTGCCAGTTGGCCATCAGGGCCTGCAGGCTTTAAAATCTGCAGGCCCAGTTTGTTAAAGTTAAACCAAATAAAAACAAAATAGACTACACTGAACACAGTTTCACACTGTTTCTACAATATCAATTAGCAAAGCCTGTGGCGCAGAGAGATATTTTTACTTGTAAAGACTGGTTGTGACATTCCTATGCGCATGGATGATTCCAGAACATTAATAAAGAAAAAAACCAAGGGAAAGATTATGACTGAAAAAATAGTTAATTTACCAAAGGCCACAGGGGCCTGCAAATATTTGGAACTGCCAGCCTGATACAATAACAACATCCGGGCTGGCGATTATTTCTAACAACACTGATGAGGATCCTGCATGCAAAAATTGAAGTTCTATTTGGGAAATTTATAAATACTTTCATATTTGATTTTGAGGTCTGACTTTTGAACTGCAAGAATTATAGAGGAGGAAACCTTTTGACATTTATTTTACCTCCATCGCCAGATTTTAAGAATAGTCACACTGCCATGTGATGCTGTTTTAGTAGCAACAAACAAACTTGGGGGATAGATACATCATCATGATCATTACATGTATCTGTCATTATGAGGGTGTCTTGGAGGATAGGTATCTGTTGAGGGTTTTGGGAGCATAAGTATCTATTATTCTGAGGGTGTAATCAATACTTACACATCCTCAAACTTCATTTTCTACAGATCTCATCTATAATGGAATTACAACACAAAAGATTTTCAACCACAAAAATTGTTTTTCTACAGTGCTTTACAAACTGTCGAAGGAGATAAAATAGATGAAGTATAAATGTGATCCAAAATGTGCATAACAATACAAAGAGAATCACTATAAACATGCAAAATATAATAAATAATCCAGTTGAGAGCATACTTCTTTCATCAAAATGAATTCGGCCTCCTGTGAGAAATAAAAACAACATACACTGCACAAAATGAGCTGTCAACTTTACTACTGGTATCATTGACTATCACTACGTATTGACAACCCTTTCACAAGATAACTGTTCCGAAAACTATTCAATATACAAGCATTACAACACTTCGACATTTTTTATCTTATACAAATTCGTTGATCATGTTTACTTTCAAAATTAGTTATGAAGATAACTTGGACGCTTTCAAAATGCTCAAGGTGACAACTTCAAACTTGATATCAAGATTTGCTTACCTTTTCTGTGATCAATTTATTCTCAATTTCTATCCATGACAAGGTTTAGCTAATGTTTATCGGGTGTCACAGTGAAGACGAGATCCGCCATCTTGTAAACTAAAAACAATCATGGCGGAAGTTGCCAAGCAACGCAGATCGTAGTCTGGTGTCCCGGGAAGGCGGCGCTTGCGCTATACCGATAACATGTAGTTACCTCCCTTTATATGGAGTATCGCAATCGGAACATTCACGTAATATTTAATTATCTTTGCTTATGAATAACAAATCAAGCTTAACAAATAGTTCTCTCATACATACTATGTAACAGTTTACTGAAATATTAAGACAAAATCAAGAGTTTGTACTTACCAGGATTGCAGGTACTTCGTCCAAGGATTTTACGTACGCTTCAGTGACTATTGTCTATCTGAGATCATATAGTTTCTTTCAAACAGAGACGTATACCGGTATGTGGTCTCTGTTTCAAAGTTGCTATAATTTATTGTTTCAACCTCCATTGCAGATGTTTATACTTTTAAACTTTAAAACGTGTTCGTATAATGTGTAAAAGATGTGATCGAGCATTTCACTCAAGGTCAGATCTTGCAGTGCCCAAGTTACATCAACTCCATACAGCTCCTCAGACTGCTGGCCACCCATTTTCTGAATCACGTGGTAATAACGGTTGATATTTAAACTAAGCGGACGGACATCGAATCAACATCAGACAAAGCCGAGCTGATACCATTTACTGAAAAAAATCCTTTTTTTTCAGGGAACACGTCAGACAGATCTTCTCGTGTTCATTTTTTAAATTTCATGCCGCTTCCATCCTCTCTATGCGCGTTGTTAAGTCATAGTGGAATTAGGAATTAGGACCTAGCTGAGCTGGTGCCTGACTCCCTTTGCGATATGAGAGACGGGGCCCAGCTCGGGGCCAAGCTTGTCCTTGACAATAAGGGCACTGTGACGTCAAAATTGTGACGTCACAGTGGCTATATACATGAATCAAGGAACATACTGACGTAACAATGCATTTGTCACCTATATCATAATTGCAATGTCTGTCACAAGAGGCGACTAGAGATCGATGCTCATGTCATTCGTTTTAATGTCTGGTCAAGACTGGATTATTTACAGACCACCGTCATATAGTTGGAATGTTGCTGAGTGCGGCGTTAACAACAGCTAAACAAACCATAAACAATTCGATGAGAAAGTATGATTTGATATTTGTCTGAAGGCCTTTGAGACGTACAGTCCGTTTGAGACAAAATGATACCGATGAAATGCAATCTAACATAAAAACAAATAGACATGCAAGAATCAAACAAACTCGGAGTGCAATAAAAACAACAGACCAAAAATGCATAATATTTGTCACAAAAATAAAAACGTTTTCGCGCTGTTCCTTTAGTTGGCACTGACCCCTTGTAACAAACTGGTCAAACGCACAAATAAATGATGAGTTTCTTAAACAACTTTTTTTTCTTTTTGAAACAAAATTATGCAGTTTTTTTCTAGAGTTGGTTTGTTGTTTTTATTGCACTCCGCGTTGGTTTGATTCTTTTATGTCTATTTGTTGTTGTATTTGATTGCGATTCATTGGTATCATTTTGTCTCAAACGGATTGTACACGCACGCACACACACAATATATACATACATTTATACATTATATCACACACACACACACACACACACACACACACACACACACACACACACACACACACACACACACACACACACACACTATGGAAATATACTTTATTACACTCTGCAAATGCCCTTTATCTGCTAACTGCTTAAATATCACTTACATGAGACACGGGAGTCCCAGTGTCTATGCCATGGGAATTTAGCGTGTAGAGTTGCGCCCTTTGGTACATCGGGACCTGTTGGTTGGTTGTTCGAATCCCGATTACCACACATTGCGATACCACCCGAATACTGCTCAAATCAACAGAGATCCTGACCACCAAATACATAACTCACTCACTATCTGTTGTCTTCACTCAGCATTTTAAAAAAGCAGAGCTCAATAGTCGTATGTCATGTGAATAAATAAATAAATAAATAAATAAATAAATAAATAAATAAATAAATAAATAAATAAATAAATAAATAAATAAATAAATAAATAAATAAATAAATAAATAAATAAATAAATACACTCACTCACTCACTCTGGTCTGTGTTTGAAAACAGCTGCTTAAATATAGGAAGAGCGGCGACTTATTATTGTGTAGGTATAACAGTATAATGTTAATTAGATGAAGTGAGTGAGTGACTTAGTTTTACGCCGCACTCAGCAATATTCCAGCTATATGGCGGCCTCTAAATAATCGAGTCTGAATTAGATGAAGTGAACCTTAAGATTATTTCACATAGATAACGCATGGTGCGTGCATGTGTGAGTGTGCGTGTACTAATCCAGAATATTCCCGTTAAAAAGTGCTGTCTTAATTACCATGCCGCTATTTAATATTCGTCCCCCAGTCATTACACTGACCATGTGCTGACCAGTTCTTATTTTATACTCTCATGCCAATCGCCAGGCAGAATAACGACAAGTACCATCTTTCAACGTCTTTTGGTATGTCGAGAATCGAATTTTTAAAGTCTCAATCTCAGGGCTTGACCACAGGGCTGGTTCACTGTCCATAAGTACGTCTCCATCAATTGATTAAAGTTAACAGGAGGCCTCCTCCAGAAATCCCTATTGATATTTCAGGGTAGCCTTCTGGTTAAAGCGTTTGCTCGTCATGCCGAAGGCCCGGGTTCGATTCCCCACTTGGCTACAACGTGTGAAGCCCATTTCTGGTGTCCCCCGCCGTGATATTACTGGAATATTGTTAAAGCGGCGTAACAACTCACTCACTCACTCACTATTGATATTTGTACACGCGATAATAGTGAGTGTATGTCCAGTTGTCTAGGGCGCTATGCAGAGTTGCGTCCCTTGAGCAAGTCAGAAACCTATGGTCGTTCGAATACCGGTTCGCCCCAATAATTCTACTTCTTCAGCACCAACCCCATGATCCTGGTTTTCATCAAAATGGTAAATATCTGGTCTTCCCAAATAAAGCAAACACACATAGGGTGAAGATATATGGAGAAAGAGGATCCCCTTGTCTACAGCCCCGCTCAACTGTAAACCAAAGAGACAGTGTACCATCAATAGTCAAAAACGATCCAGCATCATGATAAAAAATATTGAACCACCTGCACATCTCGTCTCCACAGTCAATTCCTGTATTCCATTTTCAAACTCACCTCCATAACGATTTTGTATTGGACTGTATAGTCCTCTGGCTGTATCGCCTAATTTGAAATAGGGAGTCTGGAAATGAACAAAAAATAACAATTATAACAATTAAAACAAACACACCGCGCGATGAACTCGAATACTGTTAGGGACGACGTTAACTCCAACTCGACCACTCCTCTTTACTACGATATTCCTAGTCGCGAAAACATTACCTCACAAGCAGAATATCTCTACGCACTGATACCCGGTTTCAAATTCCACTACACCATTTGTTTTGTCTGCCAATAACAATGCAGTTATGTCGTTCTGCTCATGCATGCATCAGACAAACAAAAAGACGTATCAATAACGGAACAGTTTGTTCTCGGTGGACCGTATTCTGTCTTAAAACACCCGTGAAGATCCGAGTTAGAATTGATCTTCAGTAACCCGTGCTTGTCGTAATAGGCGACTAACGGGATCGGGTTGTCAGGCTCGCTGACTTGGTTGACACATGTCATCGTATCCCATTTGTGTAGATCGATGCTCATGCTGTTGATCACTGGATTGTCTGGTCCAAACTCGATTATTTACAGACCGCCATATAGCTGAAATATTGCTGAGTGCGGCGTAATATAAACTCACTCACTCACTCGTATCCCAATTGCGTGGATCGATGCTCATGCTGTTGATCACTGGATTGTCTGGTCCAAACTCGATTATTTACAGACCGCCATATAGCTGAAATATTGCTGAGTGCGGCGTAAAAGTAAACTAACTCACTCACTCTTAACCCACAATGTTTCTCGCCACTCTCGTTTCACTCTGTCTTAAAACACGTAGATGACCTACTCGATAACAGGCTCAATTGGAGTAATCAGCTGCAGGTAGAATAACATAGCGTGGTTTGTCCCGAATATACTCAAAGTGAAAAGTTGTGACACACAAACAACAAACAAAAACAGTGCTGAAGTTTTACTGCCGGCCCCAACAGTGGTGGTATGTGGTCCTGTACATAGCGCTCAGGTCACAGCAAGTTGAAGTTAAACAACATTAGGCGCGGAGAGTTTTTGGATGCATTACCGTGGTTGGCAGCTTGACTCCTGAGAGTTTCTAGGACTACAGTCCTGCCCCACAACGAAACACATGAAATACATGTGATCTCACCTTAGGCAAGTGAGTTTGCAGAAAATGTGTACCCGGTGAAATAAGTCGTGAGACTATTAACCTTCTAGCGCCTAACATGCAGGCAAATTTACGTCGTAACACGGCAGCTTGGGTTATCCGGGGTGAAAATGATCAGATTGTGCGCTTTGAGCAGGATATCTAGCCTGGAAAAGGCGCGTCATAAATATTCTCATTACTATTATTAAAGAAAGTACGAGCGACATGTCTCATGATTGTTAACGGTGGACATTGCCTTGGTTTATTGAGTGAGTGAATTTAGTTTTGCGCCGCTGTTAGCAATGTCCCAGCAATATCACGGCGGGGGACACCAAAAATGGGCTTCACACATTGTACCCATGTGGGGAATGGAACCCGAATCTTCAGCATGACGAGCGAACGCTTTAACCACTTGGTTACCCAGCGCACCTAGTGATTGAGAAAACCTGACACCGAGCGCACCTGCATGGCTTTTTATTCATAAGATACATCTTCCATGTAGTCAAATATTCCAATATCCACATATTTTGGCATCCAATTAGATTCCCACAGGCTATTATCTGCGTTCCTCCTTAATTTGCAATATTTTGTTTTCGATTAACCCGTGCCTATTATGGAGGCTAGTTCCAAATTTGCCTGTTGACAGTGACTATAATGCTATTCCCTGTGTAGACAAGTTCCATGTGATCCCGTTTTGTAGGTAAAT